TTCCTTCACCACTTCCTACGTCGCGGACCTGTTTCCTTTCCTTCCCATAGCATTTTAGGATTGCAGATACCTTACCATCCTTATGGAAGAGCTGAAGCCACTTTTATTGTTAGTTCTGTCTGGATTTCTGTAGATGTCGTGTTTTGTTTTCAAATTTGTTTCTATTATTTTAGGGTTAGTTTCTCATTATTTGTGTCTCACTGTTTGGTTATATAGCCAACGATAGTAATATAGTAACATTAGTACGGTCATATAGTGAACGAGTTATTGTTTATGATTAAATAGTATTATTTGGTTAAACGAGGTTTGAAATTACTGAAATAACAAGAAACAAATTCTAAACAAAGCAAGAAATCTACAGAAAACCTAACAACTAACAATAAAGTTGGCTTCAGCTGTTCCATAAGGATTGGAAATCTACCTTAATCTAATCGTCATAACAGATCCCACACTCCGCACTGCTAAGTTAGCCTTTACTACAATGTATCGAGTAAGCTTCAGTATAATCATTGCTCAATAGTAACAAGTGATGTTTTTGCTTTTGTACTGTATTTTGTAATTTCTAGTATACTGTTGGTAGATGCCTTTATGAACACACGTCTTACAACCTACAAGTCTTTTGTTTACTTTTTCCTTGTTATTTGATTCAACCAAAATGGTTACTTAGCAACCCATAAGACTAATGTTAAAAAAAATGTGACTTTCAGTTTTATTTTTCTAAGTAATTAGATTTTTGTTGGCAGTTCTAACTGCAGTAAACTCGTTTTTAGGCCAAAAATAAACTATTTACAACATTTGAAGAAAATCGTCGGAGCCGTTTTCGAGATATTTCTGCAAGCAAGCAAGCAAGCATACATACAAGCAAACATTGCTCGTATTAGAGTATAGGATTGCTATAGCTTTTATTTTGTAAAAAAAAAAAATAGTTTGACTAATTTTAATCATGTTTATGTAAACTGATTACAAAATAAATTATACTTATAGTTTGTTTACACCAATACCACAGTTGTAAAAGTACAAAAAATATCGTCCATCTGGCAACACTGAGTTTAAAGTGGAACTGATCTTTTCTTTCTACCAAGACCCAATGAGATTGCGTCATTCTGATGCATCGATGTTCCTTGCAGTCTTGCAGTAACTTATCGGTTTGTAAAACTAAACACCAATACCGATTAATGTGAAAAAATATTATGCTACAATAGGTTATTTTTATTTGTTGTATTTCTATATTTTGGTATAAAATATATTGTTATTTCTATATTTTGGTATAAAATATTTGTATGGCAGTTCAAACTAAATCTGATACTGTACTTTATAATATCTTTCAAGAATCATCTGCCATTGTTATACGAGACTCCCTTGTTGACTATCGACTATTGCAATTCGATAGATTCATTCAATGCTTTATTTCAACTTACTGTATCGTTATCGAGACGTATTGTTGACTGTTGTAGGAAAGTGAAAGTATGTTAGTTTAGTTTAGTAGTCCTCTTGCTAGCTCTGCCGAAGGATGATGGGTGTTTGTTGAACATTTGGTTTACGCTGGTCTAACCTATATGAGGTTAGATAGTTGTTTTTTGTAGGAATGGGGATTAAATAAGGCATCAACACAAAACAAAATATAATTTATTAAATATGGGTATAGAAAATCGTGAAGTGGCACTATTTATAGCTACTCGACTCGAGGTCGAGTATTTGAAAAAACTCGAGTAATTACTCGAAGGTCGAGTACTCGCCCACCCCTAATGTTTATACACTTCAGCCTTTAGGTAGCCCCACGGAAAGAAATCACAAGGTGATAAGTCGGGTGACTTTGGGGGCCAGGAAATGTCTCCTCTTAAAGAAACAAGACGTCTAGGGAACAACTCTCCTAACATTTCCATGGACCGCCGAGCAGTTAGAGCTGTGGCTCCGTTCCGTTGGAACCAAACTTCTTCTTCCTCATGGTCTAAAACAAACTGGTTGATCGTGGATTGGGGAAATATCTCTATCATGTGACAATAGCGATCGGCATTTACCGTTACTGTTTGTCCATCTTCTTAAAAAAAGTACGGTCCCCACACACCAAATTCCGCAACAGCGCACCAAACTGTGACTTTTGGGCTGTGTAGTGGTTGTTGGTGGAGTTCCCTAGGATTTTATGCAGCCCAGTAGCGGAAATTCTGTTTGTTAACAGTTCCACACAATGGGAAATGAAGTTCATAAGAAGAAATGAAGACAGCATCTGGGGGAATGTTTTGCAAAATGTCATCACATGCAGCCCTGCGAGAGAGTTTCCACAGATGGTTATGTCGTCCAGGTAAACCTCAGTGCCTTGAAGTTTTTTGTCTAAAATTATTTTTTCATCTTTCTTTGGAATGCAGGAACGCCATTAGTAACCCCAAAAGGAATTCTCTTGAAGTGAAAGAGCTTTCTATAAGCTTCAAAAGCTGTGAATGGTTGATCCTCTTCTCACATAGGGACTCGATGTTAAGCACTTTTCAAGTCTGTTGTGCTGAAAATTGTATGATTCACTACTCTATTGACAATGTCGTCAATTCCAGGTAGTGGAAAAGCATCAAGTGTGTTATATCGCTGTTGATTGTTTGTGATTAATCAACAACCATTCGCCTTTTGTGATTGTCGTCAGCGACTACCAACACTTGTGCTCTCCAAGGAGACAGACTTTTATAGGTTCCTTAAGGAGCTTTTCAACTTCACTCACAATAAATTTTGAATCAAAAAATGAATGACGACGTGATTTAATAGCTTAACATCAGAAGGAATGTTTGGAAAAAGAATAGCAGGTTCCATATTGGCCACTGCCAAAGAGCAAACCTCAATGGGTTTTTGATCACCTCAAAATTCAATGCTTAAAGAAGAGTGACGACCCAAAATTTCATGCCCTATGATGACATCGGTGCAGAGATCAGACAGTACGTTGAGTTTAACAGATTATACACATTAACTTTCATACTAACAATTAACAATTAACAACTACAATTAACAATTAATACTAACTCATGGTGAAACAATGCATTCACCATGAGTTGATGAACACAAGGAAGTATTGGCCATTGATACTTTTATACCTTTAGCTTTGTTAATATGACAAAGAACAGATTAAACAATCTCTGCGATAAGTTTTTACTAATGAAACTAGATGAGCTACCAGTGTCAATGAGAGCTTGCACATTTTCTCCATTGAATTCTACAATTATTATAGACTTGTACACTAGCTAAGCAATCCTTAATTAATAATAAATCCTTTTTTAGTTATTGTGGTGATTGTTGGCAGACTTGTTTGAAATTACCTTTCTTACCACACTGATCACAAACTGCATCCTTAGCTTAAATCTTGGATGTTTCTGTTGACCGCAGAAATAGCATGATGTTTTTGCAGCAGCTGTAATGTTATCTTTAAATATACAATACCAGAAATAAATCGGAAATCATACCCACTCATCACAGATTGCAACTCTACACAAAAAAACCATTATATGCAGGAGAAAAGTTTTTTAGAACTTTACCTAAAGAAATAAAAGAAGAAAATAATGTTAATAAATTTAAAATTAAGTTAAAAAATTATATTACATCAAATCCTATTTATTCAATTAAGGAGTATAACCAGTTGTAAATATGTATTATACGCTATAAGCCCTGTTAGCTATAAGGAAATGACACTATTCCGTTGTATCATCATGTACACATTATGAATAAAGATTGATTTGATTTGATTTACTTGATTAAGTTTCTAGCAAATTTCCATTTTCATTAAAGACATTTACAACTGGTGGATCTTGATAGAATTTGCTCTGATGCTGTGCTAGTTCCAATGATCTAGCTTGAGTAAAGGCAAATGTCAGGCTGAGATTTGAGCTTTTTAAAAGTCGTTGACAAACAAACTTATTTGAAGTTACACTGTTTGCTTAAAAGTTTTAAACATTCTAAGTATTTACTGACTGATTCCCCTTCAATTTGCCTCCTTGTTGTAAGTTGATGTCTCGCAAAAACTTCATTTATAGGCTTGACAAAAATGTTCTTAAGAATACTTACTGCTTCATTGTAATTCTCTGCTTCACTTATGTAGTTGAATATGGATGATGATACATGATTAATGATCTATTGAAGCTTTACTTGTTCATTAGCTTTCGGAAATGAAGTTCTTGAATGAAACACTAACAAACAGTGTTGATAATCTTCAACTGCTGAACTGGATTCAGGATCTATGTTTAATCTTTCAGGCCTAAACAAATTCTCTATGAATGAGTTTGTTTACTTAATAAATTGATATAGTTAGAGAAGAGAAAATAATTATACCTTTAAACCAAGGTTTTATCAAGGCCCCACTAGAAAAACAGGCCATGCTGCAGGATCCATGACTAGTGGATGGATTTGTTGATAGATTCACTGCCATATCCCATATGTTTTAGGTAAATAAACTGGCTATTTGTCAGATTTTAATGGTAAGATTTTAGTACAACTATCCACCACTGTGACGTAGTGCTGCGCTGACTGTGGGAGAGGTTTTGGATTTTGCCGCAATCACGCCTTATTTAATTAAGACTATTATTACTTTGGTTTTAAGTTTGCAATTAGGATAATCAACGATTCGTATAGTTGGAGTTTGGATGATTGGAGTTCTACTGTGAATAAATAAATAAATAAATAAATCTTTATTCTCACATAACGTTTACATAATATAGCAATGCTATAAAACCGGTGACATTGTCAAAATACAAATACCTTTAAGACTTAGGAGTTATAAAAGACTATAAAAAAAAAAAATAAAAATAAAAGTAAAAGTGCTATAAACAAAATGTATCAGTTAAACAATTTAGTAAAAACAAATTTATTTTTACACAACCTGATCAGTTAAGAACTCGTCCATACTGTAATAGGTTTGTAAATGATTTTAAAACGAATCCATCCATTACTCAAACCAACTACTGTATATTATTACTTTTTGTCAACCGTAATCCAAGATGTAATCAGCATAAATATCTTGTATTTTATTGCAGGACGTAACATCAGCCAAGATGTTCAGTGACGAAGCAGCCAACATGTTCGAGCGTGCTACCGGCTCCACACTCAAAAACTCCATGTTGCTGTACTTTGCCTACGCAGACTTTGAAGAGGGAAGAGTCAAGTATGAAAAAGTTCATCAAATCTACCAGAGGTTCCTCGAAATCGAAGATATAGACCCTACTTTGGTGAGTTTATAAAAACCTTGGTTACACATTGTAAGATTATAATTTCATTTGTAGTAAAATATTAAGATATAAAAATATCCCCGCCGCAGTAAACCTGCAGACTAAGCAAATTTCCATTTACCAAGCTGGATTTCTACTAAAATATTCCCTTAAAATGTTCAAATTTATTTCATTTTTAAATAGGCTAACATTCATTTTAATGAGTACTTAGGTTTGCTGCTACAGGGAAGGTATTGAGGTGTTTTTTATTGAAGTGTTGATAGCTTAGTTTGAAATAAGAAATAAACAAAATTGTCAAATTTGATAAAAACATATCCATAAACAAGAAAACTACAACAGTTTATTTATTCTCCATAAAAATAACATGGGAATTTTAAATTTAAAATTTTTCAATTATCTCCGTAACCGTTAGGCATACAACAACGCTTCATTTTTTAATCTCTACAAAGTGGTTTGGAGAGAAATTGTGAAATTTTGTGTTTTTAGGGTCGAAAATGGGAAAAACCAATTTTTACTCCATTAAACCCCCCATAACCCCCGTTCCCATAGTCCGATCATGCTGGTTCGCAAACTCTTTAGAATAAATGTAGGTTTACACGTTTTTACCAAATTTAATCAAAATCGGATCATTTTTGCTCGTGCTAACAGACACATATATAAGGCTATATATTTATATATATAGGGTGTCTGTGAACTCTTTCGAAAAACTTCACAGGATTGTTCCTTGGGTTAGTACAAGAATATTTTACATTATAAACATGGGTCACCGGAGGCTCGTTTTCCGGCCGTCTGTCTGTATGTGATTTTTACAAATGAATCCATAACTTTCAAACTCCTGAAGCGATTGACTTGAAACTTGGTACGGAAGTAGTGACAGGTAAGGCTAATTTTTGCACAAAGTATCAGGTTTATAAATTGTATCAATCCAAAATGGCGGCCATTTAAAATTTTATTTCTTAAATACTGTAACTCAAAAACCGTTGATTTTACAAAAAGATTGACAGGAATAACTTTTTTAAGGGAATCTAATTAAATTATACATCGATTGAAATCTTATTATTTAAGATTGGACGAATATTAATTGAGATATGGCAGCTTTAGTGATACGTGACCACTAGAGGTTAGTTGCAGTGCATAGCGAGGCATGCAGCTAAAGTCTGCCACAATACAACAATCTCAGTCCGCCTTGCAAGTTATTTTTAAGCGATTTTAGATTATTTCAAACAATAATAAAATATTACATAATCCTAAAAGTTCTTATTCAAAGAAAGACTTTGTTCAATAAAGTCAGTTCCTCTACCTTTTTACACTGAGTGTCAGTGTACACTTTAAAAGTGAGTGTAAGTATAAAATTTATTAATGAATAAATAATAACATTTTCAGGCAACAATAAAATCAGCTGATTAGTTTGTAAACATGTACGATGACTTCACCCCAGCTGATACAAAAAGTTTGGGTGTTTTGTGTTAATTTTAAAGACAGTAAAATAGTGGCTTGGAAGTAAAACAACTTCTAAGCCATACTAATGATAAATAATTGTAAAAAAAAAAATACTTTTAGGGTTATGTAATATTTTATTATTGTTTGAAATCTAAAATCGCTTAGAAATAACTTGCAAAGCGGATGGGGACTGTTGCATTGTTGTGGCAGACCATGACTCGGTATGCACTGCAACTAACCTCTAATGGTCACGTATCACTAAAGTTGCCATATCTCAGTTAATTTTCGTTCAATATTGAAAAATATTGGAGTCAATTGATTTGTAATTAAATTTACTTAAAAAATTAAATTTTGTAAATTTTTTGTAAAATCAACGGTTCTCGAGTTATTTAAGAAATAAAATTTTAAATGGCCGCCATTTTGGATTGGTTTAATTTATTGAGCGGAGTGAGCAAAGCTCTTATACGTCGACTCTTATGCATTTCGTAATACGCAAACTCCTCCTAGACGGCTGAATCAATCGTTTTAAAATTTTGCATGGTGATAAAGACCATATCGGTGAGTGCCAACATCTATATTACGTTAAAAAAGTCGAATCGAAATCGATCACCACTTACCATCGTTTTTGTATATTTACCGTCTTGTGAGTAACAGTATAAGCGTAAATATATGTTTTAAGTGTTATAAGACGTTTCTTTTATTTACTTTCCGTTAAAAAAGTCTCTCAGGAATCCGCCCCACTGGGTCTCAAAGTTTCAATGTAATCCTTAAGGAAGCTGTATTTGACACATAAACAAAGACATATCAGCTGTTGACTTTTGAATGCAGTAGATAAAGAATTAGCTGATAGTATTATTCCACAGATATTAGAACAGAAACGGTATGGATCATAAATATAATCAAATAACGACACTAGCTTGAGGTTCGTGACTTATGAAGTGGTGAAGAAAGTAGTAAAGCTGAGCAGTCAGGAGTGTGGAAAGTGTTTATGACGATTAGATTAAGGTATCTGCATTTCTAAATTTCGATGAGAAGGTAGAAGAACAGGTCCGCTACGTAGGAAGTGGTGAAGGAAGTAGTAAAGCTGAGCAGTCTGGAGTGTGGAAACTGTTTATGACGATTAGATTAAGGTATCTGCATTCCTAAAATTCTATGAGAAGGGAGGAAAACAGGTCCGCGACGTAGGATGCGGTGAAGGAAGTAGTAAAGGCGAGCAGTCTGGAGTGTGAAAACTGATTATGACGATTAGATTAAGGTATCTGCAATCCTAAAATTCTATGGGAAGGGAGGGAAAGAGGTCCGCGACGTAGGAAGTGGTGAAAGAAGTAGTCAAGGCGAGCAGTGTGGAGTGTGGGAACTGGAAACTGTTTGTAGCAGTTTTAATGTATCTGCAATGCTGAAGTGCTATGAGAAGGGATGGAAGCATGCCCACGACATAGGAAATGGTGAAAGAAGTATTAAAGGCTAGCAGTACAGAGTGTGGGAATGTTTGTGGCAATTTGATTAACGTATCTAAAATACTAAAATGCTATGGAAAGTGATGAATACAGGTCCACGACGTAGGAAGTGGCTTAGGAAGTAGTAAAGTATGAGCATCAGCATAGTGTGAGATTCGTCTGTGGCAGTTAGATTAATGGTTCTTCAATACTAAAATGCTATGAGAAAGGAAGGAAACAGGTCTATGACGTAGTAAATGGTGAAGGAAGTAGTAAGGCAGAGTGTGGGAACTGTCTTTGGCAATTACATTAATGTATCTGCAATCCTAAAATGCTATGGGAAGAGAGGGAAACAGGTCCACGACGTAGGGTGTGGTGAAGGAAGTAGAAAACGTGAGCAGTGTTGAGTTTGGGAATGGATTAATGTATCTGCAATGCTAAAATGCTACGGGAAGAGACTGTAGACTGTATGTTAAAATGATTACAAAACACGAATCGATACATATTTTCGATACATGCAATCGTTTACAATCGTAATTTACAACTGAGCTGACAACAGCTGATTTTAACTCCATAGAGGCTAAACGATTTTTACTCCCTAAATATTAAAAATGCTACTTTAGACCCGCAACGCATGCATTAAAAACTACTGTTTTACTGCGGTATGACAAAAACAATGTAATATGAACATGAACCCTTCATGACTCCGCTCAATTTTGTGGATGCCTCTGCGAACACCACCTAGTAAATCTGATACTTTGTGCAAAGATTAGCCTTACCTGTCACTACTTACGTACCATGTTTCAAGTCAATCGCTTAAGGAGTTCGAAAGTTAGGGATTTATTTGTGAAAATCACATACAGACAGACAGCTGGAAAACACCGGAGCCTCGTTTATACCCATGTTTATAATGTAAAATATTCTTGTATTAACCCAAGGAACACTCCTGTGAGGTTTTTCGAGAGAGTTCATAAACACTGTCTTTCTCACTTTCGTCTAGTTCACTCTGGGATAACTATTAACTCACTGATACACTCACAAATACACTAACATACACCATTGGCGACTAGAACTAAGTTAGTGTCACTTTTGGTAAGGGTGGGTGAGAGTGACGGGGCGTGACGTGTAAAGTATAGAGATGGCGGGAACAAGGAGCGACAAGAACAACAAACAGTGGGAATGACAAACAGCAGGAAATGACGCTATTGCCACCCACAAGGAGTAAATTACCCTCGAAAACCGAAAATCACCTGGGGACCGATCAGGTTGGCACTACTGTTTTCTAGCATCGCTTTGTTAAATATCTTCAGTGCCGACCTTAAGGTTAAGTCCAAACCTGGGACTTAAGGTTTGGTCCAAACTTTTATTGGGGTCAAATTCTTAACTTTTTGTATGGAAACTTTATAACTAAGATTAACAAGTATAAAAACATTGTGTAGCTGTAAACTTAACCGCAATTCTCTGTTTGGCACTGCAGTAATCAAACAAAAACTGGCAAAGCACTTAACATGTTAATATGCAACCCGTTTTACTCTCTAAATGATTCAATGATTAAATATGTAGCCTTTCCAGAATATCCATTAAAGTAAAAATATTAGAAGACTGTTTATCTTTTTTCTTTATCATATTAGATCAAATAAAATTGTTTAAGGTAAATGTGAAAAAAATAAGTCTTGTGTTTATAATAGTAGTTATTATGCATGGTTTTGCTACAACTGTTCATTATTGTTTTAGGCGTACATTCAATATATGAAGTTTGCAAGGAGAGCAGAAGGCATCAAGTCTGCAAGGAATGTTTTTAAAAGAGCTCGGGAGGACCCTCGTTCCAAATGGCAGGTAAGACATTGAACCCATTGTGTCTACCAACCAAGAAGTCCGGGAAACCGGGAATTGTTCTTAATTTTGGGCCGGCCATGAAATGTACAAGAATCATCCTTAAGTGTCCTTAAGTAGTTTAGGAAGTTTGCACAGTCGATTTAAAAAAAAATATTTGTACTACATTTGCCTTGGCACCTGCGGCGCCTTCAAATCCACCTTTAAACCACCCGACCGCCCTATAAATTCTGCACTCGGTGAGAGGGAGGGGGAGCAGCATTCAGTGTCCACAACAGTGTTATTCCGATCGCAGTTGACATTGTCTTGTGTTGTAGTTGTACGCAAGATTCAAGATTCAAAAAGTCTTTATTCACACAGTACAAATTTGTATACCGGATTAGTGTCTGTTACTTACTACCTAAATTAACAACAAGAAACAGTTAAACATTACAAAATACTATACATTATTCAGTGGCTTAATTAACGCCAATGCAACCAATGCGGTGCATTGGGGCACAGGCCTTCAAGGGGTGCAGGCCTTAGAGAGGGCGCAAAAAACTGATATTCTGGAAAATTTTTAGCAAAAAAAAATATGTTGAAGCAAAACTCCCTGTAGCTAACTGAAAATAAATGTAAAGAAATATTCGTGGTACTTTATTCCATTACAGTCACAACAGAATGTTGGTGACTCTTTTGTTTGCTATCATCGTGATCTCCTAAGTGCGACGGTGCCTTTTTTCGCTTATCGCTTTCTTATCACAAGAATTGACTGCTCTTGTTTTAGCGAATTTCCCTATAGGGAAGTAGCTATTACCGTAGGTGGCATGGTAAGACCTAGGCCCGGGACCAATTTACTTTTTCATTTTGATGTCCCCAGAGGCCAAAAACGCCATTCTTCAAATTTTCGAGAGAGTTCATAAACACTGTCTTTCTCACTTTCGTCTAGTTCACTCTGGGACAACTATAAACTCACTGATACACTCACAAATACACTAACATAGACTAACATATGCGGCGGGGGTATTTATTTATTATTGTTAGCTACAAAGATAAAAAGTAACCACGACCCCTGTCAGTCCTTGTTGTACGATCAGTAGTGTTAGTGTTATTTGTTTTATTTATACAATCTATATATATATGTGTGTGTGTCCGTGAATGCGATAACTTCAGTAAATTTTGTCCGATTTTGATGAAATTTGGTTTAAAGGCGTAAAGCGGGATAAACTTGAATGAGTTCGCGAACCAGCATGATCGGACTATGGGAACGGGGGTTTATGGGGGGTTTTATGGAAAAAAATTGGGGTTTCCCATTTTTTACCTTAAAAACACAAAATTTCACAATTTCTTTCCAAACCATTCTGTAGAGCTTAAAAAAACAAATAATGTAGTATGTTGAAGCATTATTATGCGCCTAATGGTTACGAAGAAAATTAAAAAAAATTTGATTTAAAAATTCCTATGTTGTTCTTATGGAGAATAAGTCAACTGTTGTAGTTTGCTTGTTTATGAACATATTTTGATCAAATTTGGAAAATACATTGATTTCTTACTAAACTACAGTACCTATTAACATTTTACATAAAAAAAAACACGTTTTTACCCTCCCTGTTGCAGGGTACTTGTTAAACTAATTCTATTCAAATAGGGAAAACATGTGATATTTTTAAGGAGACATTTTAGTGTAAATCCAATCAGGCAAATGGAAATTCACTAAGTCTGCAGGTTTGCTGCAGCGGGGGTATTTATTTATCATTGTTAGCTACAAAGATAGAGAGATAAAATCTGTCAGTATTATTTTAGTAACCACGACCCTTGTCAGTCCTTGTTGTAGTGTCAGTCGATCAGTAGTGTTATTTGTTTTATTTATACAATTCAAAACAAATTTTGTCGGTGTATTTGTTTTACAATTGAAATTAGTGCACTGTTTTTTTGTGCGTTTAAGTGGATTTTGTTATGATATCTGAACAAAATGGAAGGAAATAAAATACCTAGTGGTGCCGAGAGTGGTGCAATAAAAGATAAAAACAAGAAGATGAAAAAGTAAAAAGAAAATTACCAAAGATTGACAACCTTTTTTTAAAAACAGGATTTTGCGGATACTTTTAAAAGCCTTAAACTTCTAAAATAGCTGTAGGCGACTCTTTGATTGTAAAAATGCATCGTCTAGTAAAATTAATCAAATTTTGAGAAACGGAACATGAACATTATATTGTAGCTTGCGATATTATGTATACTGTATAGGACACTGAATAAATATACAATGTTCAGTAAAGTAAGAAGTAGTCTATATTTTATTGTCCTAAAAATACATTAATTAAATGTAAGTATGTAATATTATCCTTACTTCAGTTATGTTAATGCTGGTTGGTAATGTGTTGGTAATTTGATTTTACTTTCAATTAGTCTTTTGTATAATATTTTTTTAATATTCAAATTTAACATTACTGTACATAATAAATTATATTTCTTTGGGTAATCTTTCTCTAATTGGATAGAGCTTGTACAATGTCATATGTAGTGGAATAGTATCCAGGAAGTGTGGAAGTACGGAGAAATGTTGTTAGTTTCGTTGGAGGTTATTGGGGGGGGGGGGGGAATGAGTTTACGAATAGGGGCGCACGGGTAATAGTTGCATTGGGGCGCAGTCAGACTAGTTACGCCAGTGACATTATTTAAAATTGAAATTACTAAAATCTTGTATACTGTAAGGTGCAAGGTCAAGTAAGAATGCCTTAAGTTTTTTCATAAATTTAGATTTGTCTTTTTCATTTTTTTAAATGCTAGGAAGTAAAAAAAAAAATAGTTTCTAATATAAGAAGGTTTATATTAGACCTATTACTAAAACAACTAACACTGTAGCAATAGATAAAATACTAAAAATAGAAACAAGAAGAAGAGACAGAATTTAAAAAGAATCTAACCATTATATTGACTTAAGTGGTCCAATGCTCACCATAAAATAATTATAGTAATAATAAAAATAAGAAGGTTTATTTTTGAAAAGTTAAAACCTTGGTTGTTCTTTAACTAGAGTCGGACCCACGTAAGTTTGCAGTTGGTGGCAGCCAATCACAAGACCAGGCTAGTGCGACGTTGCCACATCGCCCATTGACAACACTAAATAAAATACAGTGTGTAAATTAAGTATTGAAACAAATCTGTATTTTTTAAACCAAAATAGATAGAAATATTCTGTTTGTGTCAATAATTGTTAACAAAGATTCCGCAACTTTTTACATCAAAAGTATTTTTTTACCCCCCTAACAGGGTAGGGGGTGACTAATTTTTTTAAAGTAGCAACCCCTATTCAGTGACCCCTCATTTTGAAGGATTTGTCAAAAAAACTCAATGAAGCAAACCCGAGGTGGATATCTCAACCCTAGCCAAAATGACAGGTATTCCAAAATTTGATTTATTGTATGTGAAAAAGCGCCAATTTCACAAACAATGGAAAGAAATCTGTAATTTAAAAACCGAAATAGATAGAAATATTATGTTTGTGGAATTGATTGTTAACATAGGTTCCACAATTTTTTACATCAACAATATTTTTTCAAACCATTTAACAGGGTAGGGGGTGGGGGTGACTCAATATCAACCCCTATTGAGTGACCCCACATTTTGAAGGGTTTGTTAAAAGAAAAACAATGATGCAAACCCGAGGTAGATATTTCACCCCTAGCCTAAATGGCGGGTAATCCAAAATTTAATTTTTGTAAAAAAGCACCCATTTTGGAATATCCGCCATTTTGGCTAGGGGTGAGATATTCATCTCGGATTTGCGTCATTGTGTTTCTTTTGAAAAACCCTTCAAAATGAGGGGTCACTCAATAGGGGTTGCTATTTGAAAAAAATAAGTCACCCCCTACCCCCTACCCTGTTAGGGGGGTTAAAAAAATATTTTTGATGTAAAATATTGCGGAACCTTTGTTATTAATTATTGCCACAAACAGAATATTTCTATCTATTTCGGTTTTAAAAATACAGATTTGTTTTAATACTTAATTTACACACTGTATACTAAGCAATATTTTCAACTCAGCTGGTATTATTAGATTTGGCAACACCGCATTGTTCTCATTGGTTCATTCAAAACCATATGGTAAATAGGCTCCTCCCTCAACTGCAAACTTGCGTGGTCCCGACTGTAAATAATTTTTACCCCTTGTATTATAATTATGCACAGGTAATTCTTGAGTCTCTGCAATATTGAAAAAAATATTTAATTGTTTCAAAAATATATGAGGAAAGTATATAAAGCATATATAACACATAATATATGTGTTATATAAACGACTAATTTACATAAGATTATTACTAGCTAAGCTTTTTCCTCAGAAAATTTGTTAAACATAATTGTTGGTGTCTGATTTAATTAATTTGACTTGGGGTTTAACTTGACTTAATTCCTGTTTACCTATGGGGGAATTCACATGGGGGAAGTAGAGCCACCAAAACGCTTTCCACCGTACACGGTTCTGTGCCATCAGCTTGATTTCATCCCCAGCTCTTGCTCTCTTTCTTGATTTCTTTGTCGACCAACCTCTTCTAGGTTGTCTTCGGCCTTCCTCTTTTCCTATTCCCCTGAGGGTTCCACTCGAGTGCTTGGCGACTAATGGTGTAGTTTGACCTTCTTAGCGTATGGCCAATCCAGGCAAACTTTATTTTTGTTACGGTCTCATTTACTGGGCTTTAGTTTGCCACTCTCAGTAATTCTTCGTTGGCAATTCTTTGAGGCATTTATTGATAAAAAACTTGCAATTTGCTGGCTATAGTATTTGTTACTTTTCATGTTTGGCAGCCACATAAGAGTAGGGTTTTGAATTTCCTGAAATGCTTATTGGAAAATATGTACCCGCGCCCTGTGGGTGTTTTCTGTTAGGCCGGCGGGCCAGTCCGGGCCTGAACTTGTCTTTACAAAAACGCAAATGGTTTCAAATGAAGGACTCAAGTTTCATCAAGGTGCACAAAATTATTATTCATTAAGGAGCTTTTTTCCAGATGGATAAAAAAAACAAATAAACAACCAAGCAAATAAACCTTTTGTGTTTAAATTATGTTATGTAAAACTCTGACTCATTAACTGCTCCTCATGATCATTGTAAATCTTATCTTACTAATATTATAAATGTGAAAGTTTGTGTGTTTGTTTGTTTGTTTGTTTGTTTGTTTGTTTGAAGTTCAATCACGCATAAACTACTGGACTGATTGGGCTGAAATTTGGCATGATGATAGCTCACATTCCCGATTAACATATAGGCATATTATTATCTCAAAAATCCTTTCGGGCTCCGCCCCAGTGGCTCTGTAGTTCCCCATGTTAACCTTATGAGTATTCATATTTAAAGGGAATTAAAGAATTTAGTCAGCTGTTTCAACTAAAAAAGTTGGTTCTATGAATACAAAAGCATTAACAAGTTATAAGATTTACCAACAGGGTGCAGCACTATAATTTTTTTTGCATTTATGTAAACAGCTAATTTGAACTAAGCAGCAACAAAAAAACTGTGATACACAATGAGAACTGTCAAAAGTAGGATTGTTTACAGTTATGTTTAAGTTTTTAATGCCATGAATAATTTGTGAATTTGTAATAATTTATTTTTCTTTATTAATTGTTAAGGTGAAGTATTAGAACATTAGGTATAAGATGCACCATAGTATACCGTCAATTTAAGGAAGCAAATTTTATCAAACTTTGTCCTCCCCCATTGCAAACGCAAAGCTTGAGTATAACTGCAATAAGCATTTTAAACTCAAATGCTAACCCCGTACGAAGGACGGGTACTCTGCTAGTTAAGAAATATAACTATGACTACAATAATGAATTTTTGCAGATCTTTGTTGCTGCGGCTCTAATGGAATACTACTGCAGTAAAGATAAAAATATTGCATTCAGAATATTTGAACTCGGATTGAAGAAGTTTTCAAACTGCCCAGAATACATTGTGTGCTATGTTGACTACCTTTCACATTTAAATGGTGAGTGCAAAGTAGTTGAAATGGAGATTATTATTCGATCAATATTAGTTTTGTTATCTCACAGAACTTCACTATTCTAAACCCAAATAAAAAGAAAAGAAATAAAACAATACAGGAATAATATTTTTAGAAAAGTGAGAGATTATTGGTTGTTTTTAATTTGTGGGATGATCGGCTAAATCGTACCAAATTTGCCTTCCTGGGGTTGTCCAAGTTTAACGCTACTCTCCCATAGTGTTGTTTATTGGACCCAAGACTAATTTTTCCTCATTAATTCACACTCAACTTTAAAACACAGCGGACATGAATGTTTTGATTTAACTTAGACTAGTACTATATTGTACAAATATTGGTCTAAAAACTGCTTTCACAATAAAAAACTCTGAAAAACAATTAAAATACCCCCGCCGCAGCAAACCTGCAGACTAAGCGAATTTCTATTTGACTGATTGGATTTACACTGAAATGTCTACTTAAAAATATAACATTTATTCCCGATTTAAATAGAATTAGTATAACAAGTACTTAGGTTTGCTGCATCAGGGAGGGTAAAACCGTTTTTTTTTTGTAAAATGTTAATAGTTAGTAAGAAATAAAAACATTTTCCAAATTTGATCAAAATATGTTCATAAACAAGCAAACTACAACAGTTTACTTATTCTCCATAAGAATAACATGGGAATTTTAAATTTACAATTTTTTGGAATTTTCTTCGTAACCATTAGGCGCATAACAACGCTTCAAAATACTAAATTATTTGTTTTTTAAGCTCTACAAAATGATTTGGAAAGAAATTGCTAAATTTTATGTTTTTTGGGACAAAAATGGGAAAAACCTATTTTTACCCCATAAAACCCCCGTTCCCATGGTCCGATCATGCTGGATTGCGAACTCGTTCGAATAAACGTAGGTTTACACGTTTGTACCAAATTTCATCAAAATCGGATCATTTTTGCTCGAGTTATCGTGCTAACGGACACATATATATATATATATATATATCTAATATATAAAATTCTCGTGTCACAGTGTTTGTCTGCAAACTCCTCCGGAACGACTTCACCGATCGTTATGAAATTTGGTGTGTAAATTCTGTAGGTATGCGAATGAATCGGACGTAAACTATTTCCCGTTTCGAAATTCTTAAAAGGGCTCCGCCCCAGTGGCTCTGGAGTTTCCCATGTTAACCTTATGAGAAATGGAATTAATGAATCTTAACAGCTGTTTCAATTAAACAAGTTGGTTCTGTTCTATGATGTTCAATAGCATTAAAGTTACAAGGATTACCAACAGGGTGCAGCACTATTATTTCTTTTACATTTATGACAACAGCTAATTTGCAACCAAAAGGTGAGTGAGCGTAGCGAACGAACTTCAACCAGGACGTGATTGAGCGATGCGAACGAGATCATCTTGAAAATTAAACGTAACGGTACTTTCTTTCCATCGGTCTGTCTTAGGGGAAACCTATAACTTAGGCGATACGAAGTTCGCCAGGTCAGCTAGTAAATATATAAATATATAAATATATATATATATATATGTGTGAATTTGAACGGATGGTGTTTTTGGCCTCTAGGGACCTCAAAACTAAAAAGAAAATCGGTCCCGCGTCCAGGTCTTACCATGAGTACTACGGTAATAGCTTTTTCCCTATATGGGAAATTCGCTAATAAGTCACACACATTAGACGAAATTATTTGGTATTAACAAAAGAATGCATAACATTTGTTTCATTTCATAACAGTTAATACGAAAAGCAATGCAAACAGTTTAAGACGTGTTAATAATTTAAACCCGATTTTTTACCTGCTCAAATCCACCATTTTACTCAAAATGTGTATTTTAAATTTTGGTTGTTTGTTATTTCTAAAGCTATTTTTTTTTTTCAGAGGACAACAACACAAGAGTCTTGTTTGAAAGAGTGTTATCCTCTGGAAGCTTAGAACCTGAAAAATCAGTGTAAGTAAACTCAGTGCTTTGAAAAAAAAATCATAAGTGTTTTTTTCCTAGATATGTGTACCATTTTTGTGCTTAATGTTGGCTATATCGATATAGTATTTTAGTAGTGACAGCCGCACAGACAAACAAACAAACAGACATCACCTATGCAGAGGTGAAGCCATTATTTAAAAAAAGTTCTAAGAGTAATTCAGATAACTACTGACCTGTTTCTGTCCTGCCTTCTTTTTCAAAGATATTTAAAAAAATTGCATTCAATTAAATGTCCTATTTTCTGGAATCTAATAACTTATTAGCTGATGAACAGTTTGGTTTTAGGAAAAATCGAAGTACCACTTCCACTGTGGCTCACTTTGTAAATTCAATAACACAGAGCTTGGATGGGTCACAGAGCACTATTGGCGTGTTCTGTGATCTATACACAAAGCCTTTGATAGTGTACACCATCAAATTCTTCTTGATAAATTATCCTCCTATAGATTCTCAGAATCAGTTATTTTGTGGTTGAAATCATATTTAAGCGATCGCTTTCAAAGAACAGTTATTATTAAAGAAAACATTAATTATGCTTCTTAATGGGAAAAGATTGTTATGGGGGTGCCTCAGGGCTCTATATTAGGACCGTTATTGTTTTTGATGTACATAAATGATCTACCTAAGAATGTTAAACCACAGAAAACGTACTACTATAACCCAGAATGCCAACCGCATGGTAAAAAGCATTAAGCGGTTTGAGAGAGCTTTGCCTGTCAATCCGTAGGCAGCGCCACCAGTGTTGCCATGCAATAGCATAGCAACGCTGGTGGCGCTGCCTACAGATTGACAGGCAAAGCTCTCTCAAACCGCTTAATGCTTTTTTTTTTTTAAATCCATGTGTGTAGCCCCTAAGCTGTTGGACATAATGTAAGACTAAATTACTTAAGTAATTCCCGTCACAGCTCAATAAAATATGTCTATTCAGGACATGTTTTGGTGTTAAAACACCATCGTCAGCTTCAGGTACATAGTGTAGAGTTGATCAGTTGTTAACATCGTCAGAAGAACACAGTACGAACACGAATAAATACATAAAACAATTAAACATTTGTCAGATGTGTCCTGTTTTTTAAATGTTTAATTGTTTTATGTATTTATTCGTGTTCGTACTGTGTTCTTCTGACGATGTTAACAACTGATCAACTCTACACTATGTACCTGAAGCTGACGATGGTGTTTTAACACCAAAACATGTCCTGAATAGACATATTTTATTGAGCTGTGACGGGAATTACGTAAGTAATTTAGTCTTACATTAATGCTTTTTACCATGCGGTTGGCATTCTGGGTTATAGTAGTACGTTTTCTGTGTGTTAAACCTAGTTTGTTGTTATATGCTGACGATACGACAGCCATCATTAAATAAATAAACGGTATCAGCATTCTGACACATACTTTCTCCCATAAGTTTGTCAAAAACCTTTATCATATGTAAGTGGTGAGAGTAAATATACGCAAATGGGATTTGTACAATTTTGTTCACAATTTAAAGGACTACAACATGCTAAATTTTTATCAAAATCGTTAGGGCCATTTTTGGGAAAATCCGATTTTTCTGTTATTTTATGGGGGTTTTATGGGAAAATGACATAATTTACAATAACTTTTGAACCGTAATTTTTACAGATATGGGATTTGTACCATTTTGTTCAGAATATAGAGGACTATAACATACTAATTTTTTATCAAAATCGTTCGGGTCATTTTTGGGAAAATCATATTTTTCCGTTATTTTATGGGGTTTTATAGGAAAATCCACATTAAAAATAAAAATGTCTAAAAAATTAAAAAAAAAACTATAAAAACTGTAAGGACTATAACATACTATGTTAAATCAAAATAGGATTTTTTTTCTAAAATCCTATTTTTCGTTATTTTATGGAGTTTTTATGGGAAAATAACATATTTGACCATAACTTTTGAACCGTAATTTTTACAGATATGGAATTTGTACCATTTTATTCAGAATTTAAAGGGCTACAACATACTAAATCTTTATCAAAATCGTTCGGGCCATTTTTGAGAAAATCCGATTTTTCCAGTTTTTTATGGGTTTTTATGGGAAAATCCCCATTAAAAATCAAAATTTCAAAAAAATGAAAAAAACGCCTGGAGATACAATAGATTAGAACCTACATACTAAATTTCATCGAAATCGGACCACAGGTGTGGTCTCTAGCTTTGTACACATCCAGACACACAGACACACACACACACACACACACACACACACACACAGACATCACTTTGAAAACCACTTTTTTGGGTCCAGGGGGACCCAAAACGAATATATCCACTCAAAACTCAAACTCGAAAATTTTGACGAAAACAATACTTTCTCCATATACTATGGTATAGGGGGAGAAAGTAAAAAACAGTCATGAACTAAGTTTAGCCTTGAATCAAGCTCTTCAAGATCTGTCAAAATGGTTTAAAGTTAACGGTTTGAAAATGAACCACATTAAAACACAAATAGTAAAATTTCAAACTGCACAGTGTAGGGACGATCTTGAAGGCTTTGTTTATTTTGATAATGAAAAATAAATCTTAGCAACACAGCTAAATTTTTAGGAATTGATGTAGATAGTTTATTGAATTGGAAGAATCACATTCATAACACCTCTAAAAAGTTAAATTCAGAATGTTTTCAAATGTTGGTCTTAAGAAATGTTGTTGATTTAAACAGTAGACTAATGATTTATCACGCTTTATTTTCGTAAATTTTACAGTATGGAATAGAGCTTTGGGGCGTCACCTCTGATTCGTATAAACTTTTTAAACTTCAAAATACCCCCGCCGCAGCAAACCTGCAGACTAAGCGAATTTCCATTTGCCTGATTGGATTTACACTAAAATGTCTCCTTAAAAATATCACATTCCTTATTTAAATAGAATCAGTTTAACACATACTTAGGTTTGCTGCAACAGGGAGGGTAAAAGTGTTTTTTTATGTAAAATGTTAATAGTTAGTAAGAAATAAAAACATTTTCCAAATTTGGGCAAAATATGTTAATAAACAAGCTAACTACAACAGTTTACTTATTCTCCATAAGAATAACATGTGAATTTTAAATTTACAATTTTTTGGAATTTTCTCCGTAACCATTAGGTGCATTATAACGCTTCAATCCTTATATATAATACGTGAAGGCGATATCTACAAAACACTACTCCTCCGTTAATAATGGACGGATTTTTACAAACGACGTGTCAAAATAAAGTATTTTTTGTGTAGACGCCCCCTTTCACCAATTCCTGTAATAAAAATCCTCGGGCTTTGCCCCACAGGCCATCAAAGTTGGATTTTCTCCCATACGATTAACATGGGGGAATTTAAATATTTAATTTAATTGGAAACTTTGTCCCTACTAATTTGAGAGAACGGATGGGCGTAGAAACTTGGTAGAGTTGTCCAAAGAAAGGTCTTGGTCTGTAGATGAGTTATCAAAAGAAAAACTAAGCAAAATCCCTTAGGGCTCTGCCCCAGAAGCCTTTAAAGATCCCTCCACAGAGTTGTTTACATTTTGGCTATGTGAATAATACATTATAATAAATCAGCTGTTCATTTTTAAATTGTATTTCACATATTTATTGGGAGTTACTGAATTGTACCAAATAAGTATTTGTAATGTTATTTTCTGATTTAAAATTGATTTTCCTCTTTATCATGTCATGTTTTGCAATATAACATTCCATTACAAAATCAGTGGAAAATCCTTTTATCACAGCAATTCTTAAATTATTTCTTATTGAACTATCTTATATCTATTGTACGGGTTGGTGTCTGCCTTTTTCAACACTTTTGCCTACATTTTATCATATTATTCTACACATATCAAATATTTTTGTTGAAATATCTGCTCTTATCGTGTCTAATAAAATCCAAACATAGACACCTTGCCTAAAATGGTACCCATCTTAACAAATTATTTGCACCTGCTTATATTACGGACTTTGGCGCACTGGGTTGGTAACATTATTGAAAATAACACTACATCTTGGCTGTAAAATATGGTACAAAGAGAAAATACGATATGAGCAGCTACTGTCATGACAGAAAGGTCACATTCCTTTTAAACTAGATCACATAATCCTTTATAAGATACGTTGATTACCAACATGTAAACGTCAATATATACGTAACAGCCAATTCACAGTATTTTTGCTTTTTGAAAATGTCCCATTGCTATGTCATTTGCATGATTTGTTGCCCATGAAACCGCCAAGACCATATAAATTAGGAGGCCCCTAACAGTTCAAGAATAAAAGCCAACTTGACTTCAAGTATTCCACTACACCTAACATTCTGTAGAGAGATTATTTTCACAACTTTATTTTATTGATAAGGCTGAGACAACTAACTGACATCCCCCAAGTCAAGGAATTCCAGCTTTAATAGTAACCCCAAAATAAATTTCTCAAAACTATGCTACAGGGTTCATTCATCGGCACAGAAGTATGATATGAACTGACGCGACGCGACGAAGGAAAAATCAAACTTATTCTGTAACGGATATACCTCCCTTTGAAGTTAGAATATGTCTTTCCAAAAATATTTTCTTTTCAAATAAAATCATATTACACTGATGAAATCACAGATGTGTTTAACTACAAAAGACCCACCAATACGATTTTAAATACTATTTAAAGGTTCTTCCAAAGGAAGAGATATCATATACTACAGTAATAATAACTCCGATGACGTACGGTATGGGAAATATTTTAATCATTCAACCAAAGGAATGATCAACCAAATTTGGCAACTAACACAATTAAAATCATTATTGTTTTTACACTTATTACCTTTTAAACAATGCTAAATGCTCAAAATATGCATATTTTACCCAATTTATCGCAGTTAGATGAATTAACGTAAGCCTTGAAAGGAACCGTCGATTTCGACGGGGTTCACCTAGTATACTAAATTATTTGTTTTTTTAAGCTCTACAAAATAGTTTGGAAAGAAATTGCAAAATGTTATGTATTTTGAGTCAACAATGGGAAAAACACATTTTTACCCCATAAAACCCCCAATAAACCCCCGTTCCCATGGTCTGATCATGCTGGTTCGCGAACTCGTTCGAATAAACGTAGGTTTACACGTTTGTACCAAATTTCATCAAAATCGGATCGTTTTTGCTCGAGTTATCGCGCTAACGGACACATATATAAATAAATAAATATATATATATAAGTTATATATAAGTTATATATAAGTTTATATATATATAAATTATAAATATATATAAATTATAAATATATATAAATTATAAATATATATATATATGAATTTGAACGGATGGTGTTTTTGGCCTCTAGGGACCTCAAAACAAACAAACAAATCGGTCCCGGGTCCAGGTCTTACCATGAGTACTACGGTAATAGCTTATATAGGAAATTCGCTAAAAGAATACTTCGAATTATGACTTTTAAACCCGTAAAACATTCTTGCAAACAACTTTTTAAAGAACTAAAGATTCTAACCGTCCCTAATTTGTATATTCTTAAATGTTTATTGTATGTGAAATCAAATTTTGAAAAACTCCACAGTGAAAATAATCGGCACAATTATAACACTAGATTTCATACAGATTTTCAATAACCTATACACAGATTAAATCTTGTGGAAAAGACACCTTCTTATATGGGTAAAAGATTTTTTAACAATTTGCCTGGGTACTACAAATCTATAATAGAATTAGTATCTTTTAAAGAAAAAATTTTGAATTTTTGTTGGAAAAGAATTATTATAGTATTGATCAGTTTCTCGAAGACAAATCAATGTGAATTGTTTGTTTTGTTACTATGTATTTATTTTTACCAATAATAAGCTAGTTTATTTTAGTATAGTTTGACAATGTCACCTGTTTTGTCTGGCTGTGCCAGAGCATTTAAAAAAATGTTTTGTGACAATAAAGATGACTTTGACTTTGATTTCACCTCATTTTCATAATAGTACAGTAGACTCCCTCTAGTTCGGCCACCTCTTGACCGGACTAACTGGACGTAGTAGAACCTCAATTTAATCCAACATTTTATAAACATTGTGGCATAATGGTGGCACATTTTGGTGATCTGGTCATGTGAATCAAATTCCAGACCAAATCGTTCTTGTTGGAAACGTAAACTGAACACATTATATAAAACAGAGGAGACAATTTACCGCAATTCACAGGCCCCAAGAGCCAGCTTTGATGATTGTTTGATTAATTAATGCATTTATATCTGAGAAATATGTACTTGGTTCAACATATGAAATATAACTAATATATAAGTTGACTGGACACAACGTGAACTAACATCTGAATAAATGACTGATAATTAATGATGCAATGAATGATATATTGGATTTGATGTGATGATCTGAAATTACATATTATTTAATTCTACTACTACGACACAATACCTTAAGGGGGCGTCCCCCCATTTCCCAAAAGAACTTAGCCTTCCATGATGTCCGAAGTCAGGTGCACGACACACGACAGACGTTTTTCACTCGTCTTACCCGCTTGCCTCCTTGCGCATGCGCGAGCAGCGGTAGGGGTTGAGATTGGCGGGACATTCAAACAGTGTTGTGGAGATTGACTCCACAAGAACCACGCTCTGCTACCACTTGTGGCATAATGGTGGCACATTTTGGTGATCTGGTCATGTGAATCAAATTCCAGACCAAATCGTTCTTGTTGGAAACGTAAACTGAACACATTATATAAAACAGAGGAGACAATTTACCGCAATTCACAGGCCCCAAGAGCCAGCTTTGATGATTGTTTGATTAATTAATGCATTTATATCTGAGAAATATGTACTTGGTTCAACATATGAAATATAACTAATATATAAGTTGACTGGACACAACGTGAACTAACATCTGAATAAATGACTGATAATTAATGATGCAATGAATGATATATTGGATTTGATGTGATGATCTGAAATTACATATTATTTAATTCTACTACTACGACACAATACCTTAAGGGGGCGTCCCCCCATTTCCCAAAAGAACTTAGCCTTCCATGATGTCCGAAGTCAGGTGCACGACACACGACAGACGTTTTTCACTCGTCTTACCCGCTTGCCTCCTTGCGCATGCGCGAGCAGCGGTAGGGGTTGAGATTGGCGGGACATTCAAACAGTGTTGTGGAGATTGACTCCACAACATTTTATTACATACCCATAAAAACGCCTAATGCTGTATATAAAATGGGCATTAATTAATTTGCATTTTACATCATTAAAATACAAATAGTATTGTGCAATCATTATATGTTAAATCATTAACCTTGGTTTAGTAATAAAAACTGTAACGTTTAAAATCACGCTTACTCAAGCAAAACAACAATTACACAACACTGTACAGCAATAAATCATTTAAAGAACGGTAGAAAGTCTAGTATACTACTGCTACCGTAGTCAGCATAGGCTACTACAACTTGTTTCAGAGCAGAAGAATGTTGATAAAAACATTAGATATCTCATAAAACAGCTTAAAATCACTGTACTTAGTCTTAAAGATAACAACAGTATTAAAATAAGATACAGATAACAACGGACGGCATAAAACACCACTTTTATTTCTCTTTGTTCTTCTTATTTTTTCTTTGGTTTCTCTTCATCCACACATTCAACAAGTTGCCATGGTTACTTATCACCCAACCACAAACAGTTGTGACATAGCAAGCCCACAGGAGATGCGGGTAGCTTGACCTTGAAGCTAAGCTAATGATGCGATTAATTTTTGTTAAATAAACAAACAGTGATGTTTCCAAAACAATAATGGGGGAACCTACTTCACATAAAAAATGGTCAGAAATAGTTCAATGCATTTCAACATATTATACTGAAGAAAAACAATGTAAAATGTTCTTGGTATTTTTATATTTTTGGGGTTATGTGACATAGTTTATCACAGGTAATATGCAACAATTCTCCCATAGAAGCACCCGTCAACTAAACATTTAAGTTGAATCCTGTCAAAAGTAATTCGCCCGTGACTATGTGACTTGTCCCCCTGGGACAGGGCCGGACCATCTGGCGGCCGATCCAACTGAAGCCGAACTAGAGGGAGTCTACCGTATATAGATTAAAATTCAATTGAAAAAATGTCTAATGGAGTATAACATTTGAGCTCAACAACAATTTGGATTAAGTTGAGACAGAACTACTAATGACTCACTATTTTTCATTAACCAGAATCATCGATGAAGGGTAACAACAAGAAAAACACTCAGTTTTACCAATTTAGTTAAAGTTTTCAATAAAATTGATCGGTTGCTACCACAATAAAAGTTGAGCTGTTTAGTATATCCTTACTGGTTAAAAATCTACTTAGAGGACATATAATATCAGGTGTATAAATATTCAAATCCAATAGTTCTCCTAGAAAGATCGATTACAGGGTGATAGAAGGGAGTACACTTAGTCCTACTTTGTTCCAAGCCTAAATAAATAGCATCGGTAAGTTAAACCTGCCCAATGGAAAGTTTCCCTATATGCAGACAAAAGCTCTTTTATTCCAAATCGACCCCATACATATAATTCTGTAACATAATAGTACTACAGGTCCGCAGGCTGGATCTTTTTACTTTTGGTCATGTCAATGATGTTGAATACTGTTGGGTCTTGGGCAAAATTAGGTTGGGTTGGAAATGGACTGCTTTGAAAAGTATTTATTAAAAAAATATTAATTGTTATACTAAATATAAATCTGCCTGAAAGTACAAAAGCTATATCTAATAACACTTGTAATAATATATTTACACTTATACTGTTGACTCACAAGACGGTAAATCCATATAAAAGATGGTAAGTGGTGATTGATTTTTATTGGATCTTTTTTCTCTTTTTTTTAGCAAGATTGACTCAAAAATCAAATCCCCTACAGATCATCGGTGAAACTTATTATCAATTTAAAACTTCTTTAAGGTCCCAAGTGAGGTCCCTTCCCAGGCCCCTGGCAACCGCTGTTTCCCCCATTAGGGAAACACAGCCCTGCTACTCATGACTTTACGTTCGTTGAGATAGCTTTACTAATTTGTATAAAATTAATGAACCCCATACAGTATTTATTGAAAAAAGGGGCTGAATAGATATTCATCATCATCATTTGATATAACTTCTAATTTCAATTATTCATCTGTTATTTTCAGTGATATCTGGAACCGGTTTTTAGAATTTGAGTCAAACATTGGAGATCTAGCAAGTATAGTAAAGGTAGAAAAGAGAAGAAGTGCTGTGCTTGAAAAGGTATGTTGTCTCTGTTCATTCATTAACTTTTGTACCTACATATAAATGGGGTGTAAAAGCGAGAATTTTTTACTGCTTTTGGGGATGAAACCATAAGGCATTGTAATGGTAATGCAAATGAATTGAACCAAACATTGAAATAAAGATTATAAGTTATTTAAATTTAATATTAGTAGACAAAAAACATGCTTAAAGAAATACTTAAAAAATGGTGTAAATACCTGCTTCTTTTAATCCAAAAATTATGTTGCAATGACGCAACTAGTTTCAACTTCTCACAAAGTAGTCTTCGGGCGTCCAGAGGATGTCAAAATCACTTCATCAGAAAGTCGTCGATACACATATTTTACATTTATACACGAACCTGGACACGGACACGAAGATGAACATAGAAACGATATAAAGGTACATTTAATTATGACGAGTGAAAGACTAAAAATGGTAACAGCGGTAAGGGATGATGTGTCATGATTGGATGGATGTAGCGTCTAGACGTTATAAATAAATGTACCTTTTTATCGTTTCTATGTTCGTGTTTGTGTATAAATGTACAATATGTGTATTGGTGGCCTTCTGATGAAGTGATTTTAACATCCCCTGGACACCCGAAGATGACTTAGTGTGAAGTTGAAACTAGTTGCGTCATTGCAACATCATTTTTGGATCACAAGAAGCAGGTATTTACACCAATTTTTATATTCAATGTAATTTGAAGGCTAACAAAAAAAAAAAAAAAAATACTTAAATGTTTGCAATTGTTAATAGATGAAATCTTTAAGTTTGGCCTAATCAACAATGACCATTTATGATGCTATTTTGATGGTTAGGATCCTACGTTACGTTGCATTTCAATTTAAGTACAGTAAAACCCTGGTTAACCGAAATCGGGTTAACCAAAACCCGGGTTAACCAAAACGGTTCCATAAATTAATATAGGATTACGAATAGGGTGCAATACGTAATATGTAAACAGCGAGACGTAGCGCCAAGCCCCTGCCTACGTGACTCATCGCCTTATCAGTGATGCGTGGCGACGACGTGTCCTTGAGTTGATTCCCCGCCGGCCCCCCCCACGCACTACTTCCGGCCACCGACCTGGCAATTCCACATTCCCTGCCATCAGTCACTGTTACAATTAGTTATGCTGTTAATACGTTGCAGTAGTGTACTGTTTGTGACTAGCAAGTCTCTACTGTATGTTGCCGGGTGTTTTTATGTGCAGTAGTGTACCGTAAAGTTGTGTATGTGTATCAAAGGCTTCAAAGCGTAAACAAGTGGTTACTTCTATTGCGGATAAATTAGCTGCTATCAAACAAGTTGACGAAGGTTGGCTACTAAAGACGAATTGCAGCTAATTATGGAATAGTTAGTAAATGGGTTAAATCTAAACCTAAGTTTTTAAAGCAAGTCGTGAAAAATGGTAACATAAAAACTTTGGAGAAATCAGATTTTGAGAAGGTTAACAAGGTGTTATTTATGTGGTTTACCCAACAAAGGGAAAAAGGCATGCCACTAACAGGTCCCTTACTTCAAGAAAAGGCTAAAATATTAGCAGAGTTGTTGGGTGACGAAGGGAAAAGTTTTTGTGCCAGCTCAGGTGGGTTAGATCGCTTTAAAAAGAGGTATGGGATCCGCCAACTGAACTTGTGTGGCAAAAAATTTATCTAGACGCGATAGATATTTTTAAAACAATATTTGCAGATTACACTCAAGGCAGACATACACACAAGTACATTACAAGTAAAGACCAGACATACAATACCGACAAAACAGGCGTTAATTTTAAGATGTTGCCTAACAAATCACTAGCTTCAGCAACTTGGTTTATGAAACAGTTTGTGCTACAAGTTTAAAAGTTTTTAGCTGGAAAAGGTTTGCCGAAAAAAACTATTTTATTGATTCATAATGCGTCCTCACATCCCAGCGAGTTAAAAAAGGGCGATATTGAAGTTTCGCTTTCTTCCACCAAATGTCACAAGTCTAATTCAGCGCGTTCGATCAAGGCGTGATCGAAGCATTCAAACGGCACTATCGATGACTGTTGTTAAGAAGTATCCTACAAGATTGTGAAACACATATAAACTGATTAATGACGCGTTGAAGGCAGTTAACATGAAACATGTTATTTATTGGTGTGCGGAGGGAGGCTTGGTCTAAAATTAAAGAGGAAACATTTCAAAAGTGCTGGAGGAAGATTTATGACGGACTAGACAAACAAGAAATCGAAAGTTTTGAAAATTTGACTGAGATGGTTCATAGGATTCCTGGATGTGAAGAAATGAATGCAAGTGATGTGGACGAATGGGTCGTCGCCGATGATCCTGATGAACTAACCGACCAAGATATTGTAGAGACAGTTTTGCAGCCAGCTGACAACACAACGGAAAACAAAGCAGACGACGTGGATGACGGAATCGGCAAAGTGACACCCGGTGACGGATTTAATGCATTAGAGGTAAGTCAAACACTACTGTATAACCCAGACACAGAAATTTTAATAGATATTTGTTTTTAAACAAGTTAAATTACAACCACTTTTATTATTGTAGGTTGCCCTAAAATTTGTGGAGCAATGTAGCGAGTCCACACCTACGGACGTCCTTCTGATTAAAAGATGGCAGGACATTGCAGCACAAAAACTCTGTGAAGGACAAAAAAAAAAAACAAAGAAAAATAACAGATTTCTGTACTTAATGTCAAGAAATTTCAGTTGTTTAGATTTAAATAACATGTTAGTAACATTTTTGTAGGTTAAATAAAACTGTATTATATAGAAATTGTTATAAATTCATTTTTCCTTCACACCGTGGTAATATTTTTAGCATATAACGGGTTAACAAAAAAATCGATTATCCGAAACGGCTCTCCCCCTTTATTTCGGTTAACCGGGGTTATACTGTATAAATGGTTATCTCTCTGGGGTGCAAACTGTCACTGAAGTCAATATTTATCTTTTACAAAAAGATTTTTCTCCTACTGAAATCTTGATGATAATAAATAAAATTATAATGATAGTAGGCCTAATGGTTAAGCTCACTGATCTCTAATATTTTTGTTTGTAAAATAAATGTTGATGGTTAGTAATCAAAACTTATTGCCATTCAGCATTTTCAATCTCACAATAGATAAAGTCAGGTAGTTTTTACACAGCAGGCTGTTCAGGATTCATAAGCATGATATCACATATAAATATTACGGTAATAAACGTGCATTATGCCTTATCATAGGATAAATACATGCAAAATTTGGAAAAGGTAAATATAGACCAAATACATACATATAGACAATAAATATCACAGATCTAGGATATTTTGTGTGGAATTAATATTAGTGTGTAATATTACCTATATTTGTTAGAAGATTTTCAATAAATATAATGAGTTATCTTTGTAAATAATGTTTTTTTACTTGAATTTCCAGATCCTCTCGAAATACCACACTCCTGATCCAAAATATGATCCCTATCCATGTCCTATCAGCGTAAGATCTTTTATGTTTTTCTCAGCAATTAGAAACTCTACAACTTGAAATATATTTAAAAAGTTTGCTTTAAATCCACCAAAAATGTTATTATAGAATTGATAAAAGTGTCCTTACAACATAATTTTAGTTTTCTATCTTTCTTTGTTAATAAGTTTTACAATTAATTGATCAATTGACATGTTCGTTACCTACCGTCATATACAGTATTCCTCTGTATCTGAATGCTAAACATGGGTGTCCAACTTGCTTTTACATAAGGGGGCTGGGGTGTACGCAATAACCCCCCTGTTTAGTGGGGGAATGTTCCTGTCCCAGAAAATGTTTGAGATTTATTTACAAAATTGTTGATTTTACCCATTTTTGTACCTGAATTTGCTTTGTCAATTTTATAATTGTACTGCAAAATCTAAAAATGTGGTTGGAAACGGTTCTCATGAGGAAGACTCCCCTTCTTTAGCCCATATTAATGGAACCCATGAGGCTAAGTATAGTTGGTTGGTAGCAAATGTAGTAAGTATACTTAGATAAACTTCTATTTAGTTTATCCATTGAACACTAATAGCTCGAACAGTGAGTCTTTTATAAATACACAGAGGAAAAGACAATCCTTAAAAGTCCAGACAAGACAGCTAAGGTATGCAGCAAATAAAAAGAATGTTTTTTTTTTAAATACTAATTTTTAATTAGGTTTACTTAAAAATTTAATTAACTCAAAATTTTTTTACTCTGGCCAACTTTTGGCACACATACCCTTTCAGTATTATTGAATTCAACCTTTTATACCAACAAGTTGACTGTTTGGACCATTTAGCTGTAGTTTATATGGACTAAAATTCCTAAACTCAATTTTCAGATTGCAGAGTTTGAGGGTAAAGAAACAGCACAACTTGTTGACCGCTACAAGTTTCTCCGTTTATATCCCTGTTCTCCAGCTGAACTCAGGTAAGAACCAATGAATGCAAATCAAATGTTGTATGATTAATATAGAGTAACCTGTTGTGTACTTGTTGCAAGTACAATCAAGATAAATCAATTAAATCTTGACTTAACGTACTAAATGTGTGATTCATACTCCTATACTTAAAAAAATTCATGAAACGTGTTAGCTTTCATTATCAGAATGAGAACACTAACTGTAATTGATCGAAAGAATAATGTTACTGTTCTCGCAATCCACAATTTTCATTACACTATGGCCGTTTCAGACATTACACCATCGGGTGGGTAGTGGTACCCTAAACTAAATTAATGTATTTGCATTTTTCACAAGATTTCTTCATTTTAATGGAGTCAATGGTTAATAATACATGGATAACACACAAGACATGACACAAAAGCATTAAAGCATGTTCACAGCTTAAAAACTGGCGACCAAAAGATTAAAGGTTGAAACAGACATTGGCACTATGCCCAAAACCTAATTAATCAACTAACAATGGGATAAAAATATATAATACCCCCTCCGCAGTCCGCAGCAAACCTGCAGACTAAGCAAATTTCATTTTGTCTGATTTTTACTAAAATATTTCCATAAACAAGACATATTTATTCCCCATTTAAATAACATTAGATTTAACAAGTCTTTAGGTTTGCTGCTACGGGTATGTTTAAATATACATACAATACTGCAACAGTTTGAGTTTACTTTTCCTCCATAAAAATAACATGGAAATTTAAATGTAAATTTTTTTAATTTTCTCCTTAATCTTTAATTGTGCAACACTTTAATGGGCAAAAGTTATTGTTTTTGCCTATACAAGATTGTCTTAGTGAAAACTGGGAATTTCCATGTTTTAAGGGTGAAAAAAACCAATTTTTGAACATTTCTAAACCCTCAAGTTTCATGATCCGATCTTGCTGGTTTGCAAACTCATACAAGTTTATCCCACCTTACACCTTCAAAACAAATTTCATCAAAATCGGACCAAATCACTCGAGTTATCACGTTCACGGACACACACACACACTCACACACACATATATATTAGGGATGGATGAGATTGAATTTTTAGTTCGGGACAGGACAGGACGGGAGTTTTATTTCCTTCCCACTTTTCAGGATGAGACGAGACAGAAATATTTTCTCCTGGGAAAAATGGTTTTTTGTTTCAACAACCTTGAATAAACATTATTACAGATATAAAAAATAGCCGAGACTCCGGGTTAACCGAGGCCGTCCTCGGACGATTTTTTTTATTTAAAAAGCAAAAGAAACACGCACAAACTACGTACAGTAATGAGCGTTTGGGTGCTCCTTTTATCGCAATACGCACGCGCTAGCCTGCAATGCGTTAAAACTATTGTACAGTAAAATGTTGGCAACTGTTGTGTTTCCTCGGCCAAATATTTGCGTAGCTTAGCGCTTATCTTTGCCGAATGCATACGGCACTGTCACCCGACACCGCTCGCCAGAGTAGCTGCAGGTGTTGTAACCCGACACCGCTCGCCGCCGGACCAATGCGAACTGTTTCAATGCCGAGACGCGACTGAGCCACTCGCTCTCCCCACCACCCCGATTCGACTCCGTAGCTTATTGCGCATCTAGTGGGCTGACGATTTAGTTTGGCTACGACGCTGGCGCAACAGGGCGGCTAGCCTAAGATCCTCTAATCTAAGTCAAAAAACAATAACTGATTTCTTTGGGAAAAAAGATTAGCTTACTTTGTTTATTTTTGTACAATGTACAGTAAATTAATTTTCATTTCTTTGATTTAATTTTGTAAACAGGAATACTGTACTGTACTGTAACTAAACATCTGTACATTGTGTAGCCTATATCATACGTATTCAGTTGTGCAATAAATTGAGTGTTATATTAAAACAGTGTTTAGTATTGTGAGTGTTACCGTTTCCTCTCACGTTTTATTGCGTACTAATAACATTTCTTGTAATAATAAACTAAACAACAGTTCAGTTAATAACTTTTGTTCATGTTTTAGTATATCTTGAGCTATTTTTAGCCCCGGTAACGATTTTTAGGTTACGTTCCGTGTTATCCGAGGTTCGCCGTATCCGAGGTACCCTCGGTCCCAATTACCTCGGTTAACCGAGGTTCTACTGTATTAGCCTTTGTGGCACTGATTCACAATAACAAATAATTGGTAAAAATACACACTATAAAAACAAAATTTTGACTAAAATATCATAATTGTTGAAATTTAACTGTACAAAATCAGTCCCATTTATAAAAACCCCCTAGCTATCCACAAACATGTTTCCAAACAGACTATCACTGCATTTTTAAAACAGTGTAGTTTTAAAACCTGACATGGTTATTAGTAGGAATGAGGTATATTCATGGTCATGGCACCATGGTCGACATGTCCCGCGGTCATGGCGCTCTCGCCAACATGACTCGTGGTCACGGTGCTATCGTCAAAAGGTCCTACGGTTACAGCGCCGTCATCACCATGACTTGCGGACACGGCACCACTGTCAACATGTCCCGCAGTCACGGTGCTATTGTCGACATGTTCCGTGGTCGTCACGGCGCCATTGTCAACATTTCCTGGGGTCACGGCACGATCGTCAACATGTCACATGTTTGCAGTACCATCTTAAATTTCTCCCGGGATCACGTAGAGATCGTCATCGCCATCACCTCCTGGGTTCTCGGAGCCATCGTGAACATCTCTCAATGGGCAGCATAGTCCTTGTCACCGGCGATATCTCCCACGATCTCGGAAACGGTGTCCTCGTCAGTTGCAATATAGAAAAATTGCCGACGATCTGATAAAATCACTTCCCAAGAATCGGGAATATTTTTTCCCGAAAATTTCCCGTCCATATATAAAAAATTTGAACGAATAGTGTTTTTTGCCTCTGGGGACATCAAAACGAAAAAGGAAATCGGTCTGGGGTCCGAGCTCAGGTCTGACTTTGGCACCTACAATAAATTTGCTTAAATGAACCGGGCTCGTGTGAACCGGACTTAACTCGGTCATTATCAATAATTTGCAACTGGCTATTACCTACTGCCATAAAACTGTTTATGGCTTCATATTGACCTTGTAACTAATCTACAATCTTATTTTATAAGTTAAAATATTTGTTATGGATATTTTATCTTTCTATTAAGAAACCACAAGCATATTACGCCTCCAAAGCTGCTCACCTTGCCATAACCGGCAAAATTTTAATTTAATATAATTTCATATAATTGTTTGCATATTTTTTTTATGTAAGCCTACTTGCTCTCAAATTATGTCATTGCATGTTCTCTATTTTGTGTTCTATTGTTGGATGTGGTTGTTAAAGGTTTAAATTTTTTTTGTTTTGTATATTTTTTATTGTGATATAGGTAGGTACATTAGGCAATCTAAATCTTATGAACTAGAATGATGATAGTGATTTTGCTACCCTCATTATTAACCTTATTGTTTGATACTCAATTTATGTATGCCCTCTTAAATAATTAGGTGTAGGCTCTGGGTCTTTTGGTTCTTTGGAAGAGCTTTAAAATATACTAAGAAAATTGGATTGAGCCTGAGATAAACTAATGATTGATATGTGTGGATGTTAACTTTGTAAATGAAAAGACAATAATCTTACTCTGTGCTAATCCAAATTTTAGTTTCAGAAAGAGCTTTGCATGAGTTGTATCCATCTTATAATTAGTTTTGAAGCTGATATACCCCCGCCGCAGCAAACCTGCAGACTAAGCGAATTTCCATTTGATTTACACTGAAATGTCTACTTAAAAATGTAACATTTATTCCCGATTTAAATAGAATTAGTTTAACAAGTACTTAGGTTTGCTGCATCAGGGAGGTAAAACTGTTTTTTTTTATGTTAATAGTTAGTAAGAAATAAAAACATTTTTCAAATTTGATCAAAATATGTTCATAAACAAGCAAACTACAACAGTTTACTTATTCTCCATAAGAATAACATGGGAATTTTAAATTTACAATTTTTTGGAATTTTCTCCGTAACCATTAGGCGCATAATAACGCTTCAATATACTAAATTATTTGTTTTTTTAAGCTCTACAAAATGGTTTGGAAAGAAATTGCTAAATTTTATGTTTTTTGGGTCAAAAATGCAAAAAACTTATTTTTACCCCATAAAACCCCCCGTAAACCCCCGTTCCCATGGTCCGATCATGCTGGATCGCGAACTCGTTCGAATAAACGTAGGTTTACATGTTTGTACCGAATTTCATCAAAATCTGATCATTTTTGCTCAAGTTATCGTGCTAACGGACACATATATATAAATATATAAATATATAAATATATATATATATGAATTTGAACGGATGGTGTTTTTGGTCTCTAGGGACCTCGAAACGAAAAAAAAAATCGGTCCCGCGTCCAGGTCTTACCATGAGTACTACGGTAATAGCTTATTCCCTATATGGGAAATTCGCTAAAAAAAGATGCTCTTTGCCATTACTTCATCATAACCTCCAGTAAACAGCTGACCACTACACTGTCGTCCTGAATGCATTGATATGTTTTAAAAAGTAAAAAAAAAACAAACAAACAACTAGACATTGTGTTTATCTGGTAAAATTGTTGCTTCAATCATGTTTTCAATCATTTACAGTAATTGTTGTTAGAAAACCATGAATGTAGGATACTATCCGTTTTCATAGTAATGTCAATGTATTCAAATTTAAAATAATGGTTTAAATAAAATTCTGAGAAGAAAACCGCAAAAATACTGGTAACCGCGTACCATACCTATTTTATACCAATAACCAAGGTACAAAATATTGCTCCGTACCGAACCGTACCGACCTTAAATATTCTGTATCTCAGACCACTTAGTAGGGGTAATAGTTTGCACAATGTTGATCTTGGATAGTAGAAACCTTTTAAATGAGTAGAACGGATTCTGCAGCAGCAAGAGGCGTGCCTATATTCTAAAACTATAGGTACTGGTAATACATCTGTTCAGGAAACTTATTTAAAATGTAATGTAATGCAACTGTAACAAATAACCTGATAAAGCTAGCCTTATGTAGGAATGTTCACTTTGTTATTTCTCCTAGTGCTGTAGAACAGAAGAACTCAACTGTCCAAACTCAAATTATCCAAATTATTGTCGATTATCGGATTGCTTACAGAGAGAATTTAATATAATTAAAACTACAGCAATAAGTATCGTTAATAAAAAAAAAAAAAAAAAAAAAAAAAAAAAACGAAGTTGTGATTGCTGTAAAATCTTGTACATCTTTTACAGTCCTTATCCGAATGTGGCACGGTCCCAATTGATTCTGATAGAGTTAAACTGAAACACATACTGAATATGTCCATACTGTTTTGAAATTCATAAATATTAGTTTTTGTGTACATTTATATTTGTACTATGTAAAATTATCAAGTATTGGACAGGTGCCGAGATCTTGCAGTGCTTAACTGGGCCTGCCCCACTGATGATATAAATTTGTAGTTCATAAAACTTAATCTCATGTTTTGATCACATTTATACATGGCTTTAAAGAGGTTGCCGACTTACAAAGGTAACTAAGACTAAGTTAACGATTATTTCCAGGTCTATAGGATACAGTGAGGTAACTGCACAGGCCTCCAAAGCTGCTCACCTTGCCATAACCGGCAAAATTTTAAAAGACGGACTAGACGACCACGAGCCTACCCAGAGACAGTTGCCTAAACCTGATCTCTCCCAGATGGTCCCCTTCAAACCAAAGCGAGACCCTTACGTCGGAGAACACCCGACACCTGGTGAGCAAAAATGTTTAATGGGATTTTTGTTGCAAGTATAAGTGTTCAAAATCTAAAATGTTTGAATTGAAAACATATCCCAAAACATTCCTGTACACTACATATTAACTATGTCAAGCATTAATATGATAAGTTTTAGAATAAATATAGAATTCCCTACTAAATGTTTGTTTTTTTTTTTTGGGTTTTTACTCTTTTTTTGTGGGGGGTGTTTACAGTAGGGATTTTTGCATACATTATTATTTTGTAGCGGAACAACTGTTAATGACTAATTTCATATGTATGACCATTGATTAATCTTTATATTTCTGTTGTATGATTTATTTGTGAAGATTAATTATCACATGTTTTAATATTGTTAAAGGAAAACAGTAGATCATTACGAAGTTGGTCTTTTATGGAAAGATTATGAATTTAATTTTCCTCCAAGCTATGACAATGCTCTGAGAAGATTAAATAATCTTGAAAAGAAAATGGAAAGAGATCAGGAATTTAAAGAGGCTTACACAACCAAGATTGACGAATATACCGAAAAAGGATATATTACAAAACTCAGACCTGAAAAAGCTGCTATCATAACAGGTCGAACATTCTATCTACCCCACTTTGGAGTATCGAACCCGAACAAACCTAACAAAATAAGATTGGTTTTCGATGCTGCTGCTAAATCTCACGGAGTTTCGTTCAATGATGCACTACTCAGCGGCCCTGACTATTTGAATCCACTGCCATCCGTGCTGTTGAAATTCCGGTTAGGAAAATTTGCTATCGTGGGAGATATAAAGGATATGTTTCACCAAGTAAATATAAGAGATGAAGACGTTGACTCACAAAGATTTCTGTGGCGAAAAGACAAATCCAAACCCCCAGATACCTACATAATTAAAGCGATGACCTTCGGAGCAACATGTTCACCAAGCTCTGCACTGTTTGTTGTAAACATCAATGCAAGACAGTTTCAATCTTTGTATCCTGGAGCTAGTAATTCCATACTGACTAAATAATATATGGACGACCTGCTGGATTCGACTGACACAGAAGAGGAAGCTAAACAACGTGTTCAAGAAATAATTGAGATACATAGAGCTGGAGGGTTTTAAATTTGTAACTGGATGTCTAATTCAAAATAAGTACTTTCGAAACTTCGTGAAAACCTGAAAGCCAGCCAAGCCAAACACTTGATGCCCGATACTTGACTTCCTACAGAACGAGTACTTGGATTATGGTGGGACGCTGAATCCGACTGCTATGTGTTCCATCGCAATATCGAAAAACTTGAATTTCTCGAATCTGAGTATCCGACGAAACGAGAGATTCTTAAAGCAGCTATGTTAATTGTTAGGGATGGACGGGATTGAATTTTTAGTTCGGGACGGGACGGGACGGGATTTTTATTTCCTTCCCGATTTTCGGGACGGGACGGGACGGGATTTTTTTCTGTGCATAAAAAGAAAGTACTGTATTGCAATTACCAAAAAAAGACATACGAAATCAATTTTTACCATTTGTGGCACTGATCTATAAAAACCAACAAATGGGTAACAATTTACAGGTACCTAAAGTAACTTGTGATTCGCGGGTCACGGGGTGATCGTCTGTATGACTCACGGTCACGGCGAGATCGTCGTCATGACTCGCGGTCACGGCGCGATTGTCGGTATGACTCGCGGTCACGGCATGATCGTCGGTATGACTCGCGAACACGGCTCGATCGTCAGCACGGCTCGATCGTCAGCATGACTCCGCGGTCACGGCGCGATCGTCGTCATGACTCGTGGTCACGGCATGATCGTCGGTATGACTTGCGGTCACGGCGCGATTGTCGGTATGACTCGCGATCACGGCTCGATCGTCAGCATGACTCCGCGGTCACGGCGCGATCGTCGTCATGACTCGCGGTCACGGCGCGATCGTCGGTATGACTCGCGGTCACGGCGCGATCGTCGGTATGACTCGCGGTCACGGCGCGATCGTCGGTATGACTTCGTCTCCTGCGTTCGCGGACCTATCGCTCACAATAAAGGCGTTATCGGCACTCGCGAAGCGGAAAAATCGCCGACGATCGGACCAAATCCCGTCCCGAAAAATTCCCGAGTCAAATGTAATCCTGTCCCGATAATCGGGAATATTTTTTTCCCGAAAAATTCCCGAAATTTCGGGACCCGTCCATCCCTATTAATTGTTGATACCCTAGGTCTGATTTCCCCTACCACAGTGAAAAGCAGACTACTGGTTAAGGATATATGGAGAACGAAACTAGGTTGGAATGATGTTGTGACACCTGAACTCAGTCTGAAGTGGAAAGCTTGGATGGATGAAGACAAACAAACTATTCCACCTGAAGTTAACCACTTGGCAATAATCACAGAGAAAGACAATGCACGTAACACTTGGCCTTGGAAGAATATCTGCCCTATACCCCGGTCGAGATGGACAAGTAAGAGTTGTTGACATCACAACACCAAAAGGTACTTTTTGGCGTCCGATGACAAAAATTGCAATTCTACCTGAGGAGGGGAAAGATGTTAATGACTAATTTCATATATAGGGTGATTCAAAATGAATGACCCAGTTTTAACGCTTTATAACTTTAATACTATTAAACTTACCGCTATAAAATACACATCAAACGAAAAAGCAACTCAAAGAGTTTATGCCTTCCATAGACACATCACTTAACAAAATCGATCCAGCAGAACTGTAGATTTAATTGTAAAAAGTTAAAAAGTAATCTCCAACTTTTTTACCACTAGAAATTTTGAGGTTACTTGACGTTTTTGCAAATAATTTTTAAATGGTGAGGAAATCGACCAAAGTGGAAAAGGAAATATTTCGAAAGAGAATAAAATTTCCTACAATCTACTAATATGCATTTTTTGAAAATACTCAAGAAAGGTACCAAAAATTGCCTTAAATAAAAAAAAATTAAAATCCCCGTCTTCAATTTAGACAAAATACATAGCAAACATTAAATTCCACACTTTTTATTTCAAGCGAAATTTAGGCTATATTTATAGAGTATTTTCAAGAAATGCATATTAGTAGATTGTAGGTAATTTGATTCTCTTTCGGAATATTACCTTCCACTTTGGTTGATTTCCTCACCATTTAAAAGTTATTTGCAAAAACGTCAAGTAACCTCCAAATTTCTAGTGGTAAAAAAAGTTGGAGATTACTTTTTAACTTTGTACAATTAAATCTACAGTTCTGCTGGATCGATTTTGTTAAATGATGTGTCTTTGGAAGGCATAAACTATTTGAGTTGCTTTTTCGTTTGATGTGTATTTTATAGCGGTCGGTAAGTTTAATACTATAAAAGTTATAAAGCGTTAAAACTGGGTCATTCATTTTGAATCACCCTGTATGCATGACCATTGATATTGTTAAAATGAGGAGTAAATAGTTTTTGAAATGTTGTAGCCTACTGAAATTGACTATTCTTATTTTGACTTTGATAATTGACAATTAATTTAATAACAACCCAAATCATTTTATTTTATTTTGTTTCAATCTATTTGTTACAAAGTTCATTAATAGCCCAAGTTCGTTAGTTGCCCAAGACAACTAACGTCTTTCATATTTGGAGGCAAGCCCTATAACTAGACAATAACAAGAGTTTTGGCTATGACTCAGAAACCATTGTTCATAGAAGGAATGTGTTAATAGCTGATTCACTGATTGGTAGGAAACAGCATTCTCTGTAATTCTGTGTTTTAAAGATATATTCAACAGTTTGAAATATTTGAAAAAATTGTGAAAATTGTCATAAAAAAAATTTCAAATGTAAAACTTTTAACATTTAAGTTTGTGTTGTAGGAGGTACATTCCCTCTTCCCCCCGCTGCAGCACACCTATGCACTCTTCTACCTCCCCCTAACTGCTTCCACGGACCCTTCGTAGTGGTAGACAGCCTTATAGACATCTTCAACAAGATACAAATACCAGAGACACGTAAGCATTTCAGTCTAACTTCTATGGTGAACAATTTGAGTAATTGAAACAATTGGGCTTGATGGTAACTGGCGTGACTGGTTCAAAAAATTGATAGCCAACGTAACATCTTATGTGCCAATATATGAACTGTTTTGTAAACTTTCACAGTGTTAGTGTAAATTCATCCAGCAGTTTGGAGGATTATTTTATTTTAATTGTGTCTTGGCCAGTACAGAGCTATTTGCACCACTCTGAACCTATCTTTTTTACATCTTTGTGTTTAAACTACACACAATTTGCATTATAGTATACAGTCTTAATAGAGAAAAAAAAAAAAATTTCTCCGTTTTACGACTGAGAGATTTTTCTATAAATTCGATGAACTTACCAATATAGCATAAGCTAATTTTAATTATTTAGTTAGTTTAGTTCAGTTAACATCATACATTAAACAGTTAATTAACTTGCATTTAATACGTTTCTGAGAAAATGAAATGATTTTATGATATTTAAAGCTAAAGCTTCTCTAATGACATACATTATACTTTTGTATTTGATTGGTGTTTTACTCAAGTCCAGCATAGCATAACAGGGGTTAGATCTCCTCATCTAAAACACCTTGGTTGACCAGTTATGTTTCTTTTTCTTTGCAGCTCCTGCACTGTTGGGTGAGAATGGTTGTGACACCAAACTATTTGACCTTGCCAAGTCAGTCCACTGGGTAGTAGATGTGGACAACGGAGGAAGGAAAAAGCGAAAGGTAATGTGCATCTTGAGAAATACTCTTGAAAGTTCTTTAAAATCAGACCTAGTTTGAGTAATAACTAATTATTCATCATTGCTAATTTCTTTCTGGCATTAATCTCATGTCCCTAATTAAAGTATCGAACTTCAAAGATATCCACACTTTGGCCTGTTTTACTGTGCTTGTGAAAGATAGTTTTGCCTTGAATTTGTAGATTATTTCACCCATTGATGCAGATTTATTTAAAAATTAAAAATGGAGTTAATGTAGTTAGTTTAGGTAAAGAGATAATAATTACTGTTAAGTGGTTGATTTTGTATGAGTATGCCTGCACTTTTTTCTGATACTATTTGGTTTTGTTTGTCACATTTGATGTATTTTATTGAATTTACATAGTGGCCAATATCAATCCCTTCGTAGGCTAAGAATATAAAAAGGTAATTAATACTAAAAAAGGTAATTAAAAAGGTTTGAGTAGACTCTCTATTAGGGATGAGTCGAATCCGAATCTCGAATCTCGAATCCGCCGAATCTCAAGAAAAGATTCGGATTCGAGATTTGAATGATAGGATTCGAGAATCGAATCTCGAATCTACCAAGATTCGCAAGCTTAACGAGATCGAGATTCTAGGCCAAGAACGAAAACGAAACGTTTGAGTTGAGTGAGAGAGAACGGTTTCCGGTCCGGTTCAAACAAAGACCCTAACGGTAAACAATAAACATGCAGTCGTCTGCATTCTGCAATGTAACACAGCCCAAAATGATTGCCTTCTTACTTTACTTCTTTTCTTATCAAAAGTCCAGTGTTGCCACAACCATTTGTTTCCTACACGAAAACGGTGCATTCGTTCCAATATTAGAAGAGTTCTGTTGGTTATTGGTTAACGCTGATCAGAGCGTATTGAGCGTAAGGAGAGCAGACTGACTAACTAGACTAGTTTAGTGAGGGATGCGCGATTGCGAACTGCGAGGTTTCAGTTGGAATGAATTCCTTTATTGAAATGTTCGTTTTCGATTGTTTCGGATGATTAATTCGAATGGATTAATTGGAAAAATCCATTCGTTTTTGCTAATGCTATCAAGTACATAAGGATAATTAATAGCATAAGTTTCTTATGTTATTAAAATCCGTGTATATTTTGCAAACTGTTTAAGTCAGCTATATTGGCAAATTGAATGACTTTAAATTGCAATATTAATTTGTGCGGATAAAATGAACTATCGAACGGTAATTTTGAATGCAGCATAAGCCTTCGATCACTTTTCGAATGGATGAAACAATTGATTAATCGAAACGTTTGAGATCGCATCAATAGCAGACAGCAGACGCATTTTCCAATACCAAGCAATAATCATTCCAATTTCTTGACCCTAGTCTTGTCGTTGTTTGGATTGAGATTGAGAAGCTTCGTATTTTACAGTACTGTGTAATGTAACAAACTCTTTGTCAAATAAAGCAAGTTACTATTTTCCGTATTTTGTTCAGTTCAGTTAATCTTTTTCAACTTCAATCGGCAATATTTTGTTGCCAAATGACAATCGTAATCGTAATCGTTCTTGCTAGTGAGTGTTAGTTGAACTGAACTTTAAATTTGTTCGTCGTTCGTCTTCTGCTGTTCTGCACGACTGTAGCCTATTACCGTAGTAATTGGACATCAAGACTTTTAATGATGTTATTGCTGACTATAAACGAATAACTTACTTTGTTAGGTATTTTTCCAGTGAGCGAATATTGTGTGAAGGCTTAGGCTACAAGTTATTGTTTCTATTTGATTTGGAGCAATAGGCTAGGCTTAGGTTAGAGCCTACTGTATTTTCTTTTGAAATTTATTCGTCTTCTGCTGTTCTGCTCGAAGTGTATTATCGTAGTGTATTATATTAGGACATCAAGGCTTTTAATATTATTTCTGACAATGACCAAATACTTTGTTTAGGTTAGGTGTTTTAGTGAATATTGTGTGCAGGCTTAGGATAGGCCTACAAGTTATTGCTCTGTTTGATTTCGAGTAAGTTAATAGGTTAGGCTTAGGATACTGGATTTTCTTTTTCTAACCATGAGTTCGGAGGTTTGGAAATATTTTAAAATTTGCTCAGACAATACTAATTTTGCTAAGTGCAGTTTGTGTTCAAAGGTGATATCTCGAGGTGGTACAAGTAAAACAACATCAAGTTTATCTAAACATCTCCGAACCATGCATGCAACAAAAGTCACCAAACCTAGCTCTAAAGTAACATTCTTTAAAGGTAAGAAACAAGAATCAAAGACATTGCCTCTATCTTCACCATCAACATCAGCTGTTAAAGAACCTGTGTTTGGGCCTACTGAAGAAGAGATAGCCGTGGACGATCCAATGGGACCCCAAACACCATGGAATGAACCTTTATCAATTGACATTGACACTAGTTCAAGTAGTATTGACAATGTGACAGGGGGAGATTGCTTGACTTCACCTGAATCAACAACCAATATTTCACTAACTCCAGATTCTGAAAGTTCTATCCATAGTTCAACTCCACTTCCATTTTCTCAACTGAGTCCTCCAGCAGTCCCAATCTATCCAAAAACAATAAAAATTCCGCAAAAGCAGACTACTATCAAAGGGATGTTTGAGAAAAAAACTAAATTCACACCAAATGATCCAAGGGCAACGCAAATAGACAAGTTAATTGCAGAAATGATATGTCTAGACCTGCAGCCAATTTCTGTTGTCGAAGATGTAGGTTTTCGGAGGTTGCTTAACCACTTTGAGCCAAGATACAATGTCCCATCTAGAAAGACATTTTCAAACAAAATACTTTCAAAAATGTTTGATAAAATTCAAACTGAAGTGAAAGTAAATCTTCTTCATGCCAAACACGTTGCAATTACAACTGATATGTGGACGTCAGTTGCTAATTGTGATTACATGGCCGTTACTGCCCACTACTTTAGTACAGACTCTAATACTATGGTCCACAAATGCTTGGAATGTGTGCCATTTCCAGACATCAGTCATACCGCTGTCAACATCCTAAACTTTTTAAACCAAGTATTCGAAAACTGGGGGATTCAGGACTCAATTGTTGGCATTGTTCGAGATAATGGTGCTGACATAACAGCTGCGTTAAATAAGAGCAAGTATGACGCTTATCCATGTGTTGCACATACACTTCAACTTGTAATAAAAGATGGATTTATGGAAAACGTGAAAATAGCAAATCTTGTGAAAAAGGCAAAAAAAGTAGTAGGTTGCTTCAAAAAGTCAGCGAAGAACACAAAATTATTGAAAGGACTTCAGAAACAGCTAAATATTCCAGAGCATCGTCTTATTCAAGATGAACCTACACGCTGGAATACAACGTTTTATATGCTAAAGCGGCTTGTAGAGCAAAAGGATGCTCTTACACTTATGTCAGGGAAGCCTGAAGTGAGTCTCCCTGTCGAGCTGACATCTGATGACTTCAGAACAATGCAAACTGCAGTTGAGATCCTTGAGATTTTTGAAACCGCTACACGGCAAGTCAGTAAAGAATCTTCATCAATTTCTGAAGTAAGTTTTAGGTTAAGAAGCTAATTAATGTAATATTATAATGTACAAATAATAATAAAGAATTCGATGTAGGTAATGTTTGGCAAAATACATACCGTACCGGTAGCCTATTTGAAATAGGCGCATCGGTGATCTTAATAAGGTAGGCCTATCTAAAAAATTAAACTGGTACAGTTTCTTAACTGGGCTACACAGATATAGATTGAACGTAATCATTGATTAAAAATATCGAGTAGGCCTAATAATAGAAATTTTTAACTATAGGCCTAAATTTAAAAAATGAAACCAAACCTAACTAACCAAACTTGCTGTAAAAATAATCGAATGAAGGTTTACTAATCAAATCGATAGTTTTAATCGATATTAGCGTAATCATAGTCCAGTTAAGAAACTGTACCCAATTCAACTGACTTAAAAATTTAAGTTAGAGCCTACAAATAAGTTTAAACATAGCCAAAAGAAAAAACACTTGCTTCAAAAACATTTTGGCACATTTTTTTACCATATATAGAAATCAATACTTTTCAAGTGAAGTCTAGAATTTTAAGCTTCACCTAACCTTTTACTAGATCAACTTTAAATACAAAATGTTACATTAAAAACATTAACACTGTACGGTACATTGTTTACTGTACACTAAAATTGTGGTTTTTCTTAGTGACATTAATAATAAATACAAAACCTACCTGCCCAGCGTAGGCCTACTGTTTAGCTCTTTAGCTCCACATTTGTTAAATGTTAATAATAGGCTATTTACTTTCACCAAGGTAATATTAAATTTTTATTTTAACAAATTACTGATATAAAGTTTGTAGGCCCTATGTTTCACTGTCCACTTGAATAAATACAGTACCGTAACAATTTAAGTGGAAATGCAATCTTACTCACAGTTGTCTAGGGAATAATATGTTTAATTGAGATAGGCTTAGTCTACTCAATGCACATGATCAAGCATTTTTTTTTGTACTAGGGTTAGGCATAGGCCACTAATTTCCGTATAATACACAAGCAACTGAAGCAAAGCAACCATTTGCATTTGGAAAGTTTGGTTAGTCTTGGTTGGGTTATAACAAAACAAAAAGAGTCTAAAATCAGTGGCCTAAGCCTGACACATAAGTAGGCCTAATGTTTTCCTTTCCTGATTTTAGGCTTATTTGTATTGTTTCAGATTATACCATTAATAAACACAATTGCCCATTTCTTGGAAAATTTGAATGTGGCTGGATCTGGATTTATGGGACTAAAAAATGACTTGGTATCGTCATTAAAACGCCGATATCCAAACGTAGAAGAAGATTCCAGCTTTGCCATTGCGACCATACTGGATCCACGGTTTAAATCAGCTCCTTTCCAAAATGAAAGGGCACTGGAGGCGGCCAAAATAAAAATCCTGGATGAGATGGGGAGATTGGAGGAGGTCTTGTCAGAACCTCCTGCCGAGGATGAGCAAAGCAGGAATGAAAACCAGAAGAACTTTTGGAGTCATTACTCATTATTCACAAAAGCAAGTCAAACTGTGTCAGTTCCTTCTTCTGAAAATTCAACTTTAAATGAACTGCAAATGTACTTGAGTGAAAAACTGGTTGAGCATACGGAGGACAAAAATGCAGTATACACCTACTGGAAGTGTACACATTTTTTAAAGTTAAAAAAAATTGCGACTAAGTATATGTGCATTCCCCCTGCAACCGTATTCAGTGAGAGACTGTTTAGTAGTGCTGGGCTAATTTGCAACAAGAAACGAAATCGGCTTGATCCTGAAAGAGTGAAACAGCTTGTATTCTTGCATAAAAACTTGCAATAGGTTTGGGTGCTGTTAGCATCACAGACTACAATCTATCTGACAATTAAATTGGTCCATGGTCTTTTTTAGCATCTAACGTTTCTCTACATACACATTTAAAGCACTGTATTTCAATTAAATGGTTCTTGTTTTTTTTATTATAAAAGGTTGGTTTGTGTTTTGGGCAAGGTTAAAAAATAAATTAACTCATTTGTGTTGAATTATATGTTTTATTTCTTCTGTCTCCTTCCAATTTGTGGATCTTGATCATTTCATGTTTGTAGTTAAGAACATGGTAGCCTACTTATGTTAATTATCTAATAAAGGTACCTACTAACCATGTTATTTTTTGACCAAAACATAGTTTTACTTAAATAATACCAAACATAAGCCTATTAGAAACTGAAACAGTAGTTTGAGTTTGAGGAGTATTTTTATTATTCAAATTAGGATTTTTGAGAGGATTAGGTTAGGATTCGAAATTCAGGATTAGAGACTCGAGATTCGATTTTTTTAAGATTCGGATTCGGATTTGAGATTCGAAATTCCTGGATTCGACCATCACTACTCTCTATCGTTCGGGAACTTTGGATCGCGATAAAAAGCAAACGCTACATGTCCCGCGGTCACAGCGCAATCGTCAACATGACTCGCGGTCACAGTGCTATCGTCAACATGTCCCGCAGTTACAGCGCCTTCATCAACATGACTCTCTTTTTTAATGACTTTAACTAAGTTCAAACATTGCAATTAGACTTCTATCCTATTGTAAAATCTGAACGCTATTTTGATGCTTGTTTCATGTAAAAATGGATTAGTACGCCTTTGTCGACCAAATTGACTAAGTATTTTTGTTAGCATAAAATTACTGATCTCATCTAAATGGGAACTAATACAAGCAATTTAAGTCAGCTGTTTTGAACTAATAAGCATCAATATCGTTATACATAATACGTCAAGGCGATTTGTATGAAACACTACTACTCTGTTAATAATGGACGGATTTTTACAAACGATGCATCAAAATTAAGTATTTTTTATGTAGACGGCCCCCTTTCACCAATTCCTGTAATAAAAGTCCTTGGCCTTTGTCCCACAGGCCATCAAAATCCCAATGTATTTATTATGAAGAAGATTTTGTTTACATAAAGAGACGAATGATTTGTATTAATTACAGCTGTTCATAGTAAACATATGATACACACAAGAGCGTTCGTTTTCAGTTTCGATTACTGGAGCAAAGTGATTGATTACATTTTTTTGAGTCATCGGAAATTATGACCATGACTGTAATTAGTTTTGAAATAACGCCTGTAATACTTTGCAATTGCTCAGATTCGAGCAATAGATACACTATTTACTTTAAACATTGCAAGTAAAATTTTCATCCTTGACAAACTCATAATTTCATCTAAAAGAGTTTTATTATATCTATAAACATTGTTAAATGTCTAACAAGAAATTGTAGAATTGGTTGTTACTGCTCTGTAAGCAATTTTAGTGTAGGCTTATAATTGATTTACTGTTGTAAAATCAGGTAGTTTATTACAAGAACTTTGTCACTTGCGGTTTCAGATTGGTGGTGGGGATGAGAGTGATGATGACGATGCTAGTGGAGCTCCACCAATAAATGACATCTACCGACAACGTCAGCAGAAAAGAGTCAAGTAAATCTTTACGATGGCATAAACCATCCTAGATCTCACCAAGGTTTTGATTGCAAAACTTGTTTGTATAAATTGTGTAATCAGTTTGACAGTTGATGTTGTTAGGTATTACAAAAGAATTTTTTATCAAATACCCGTGAATAATTGACTGGTATGTGACATATTTTTGAAAGAGTTTGGCTTTTTATTTTCATTTGTTTTTTTTTTAATGATTTGGCCAATATTCAGAGTTACCATACAAATTATTAGTCTCAAGTAGGAAGTACCGGTAATGATATAATATCATTATTTTAAATAGCATTTACTTAAACTTCATAATAAAAATTTAGTAAATTTTAACTACTATGTATTTTAAAATGGGTGACGATATATTTTTAATAGAAAATGTGTTTTTATGTTAAATAAAGATTTATTTTGTCACATGCACTGCGTATTACTGTGAAATCTGTTAAAATGTTCAAATACTTTTAAATTGAGTCCGGTAGATTTAATAAAAATTAATAAGTTACTATAGTTTTTTAACCCCTCCAAAAACTGCCCCCATTATGTTCTCTCCATTGTTGTAATTAAAATTTACCGTTACTAAAAAATTGAGTTCAAACTTTGTTAAATTTAGTTTTCTTCCAATTTCTTACTTGTAAAAGTATTATACATTAAAATTGTATTTGATTTGATGTTAGTAAATTGAATACATACACAAATGTCAGTAACCTTTGTTGTTACTAATTTATTAATAATACTAAGATAACAAGATGTTTATACAATGTTTTTAATTAATTAATTATTGAAGGCTGAAATAGTATATTTCATAGCAAAAGTAGAAAGTGAGTCATAACATATTTGAGACCATGTTTGAAGAGCGAGATTAATCGAGCACTTTAAATGGTCGAGAATATGTATGGACCCACCTTCACTCAAGTTTTGAACGTTACTTTTCGCTACTCTTCAAAGAATAATTATTTTCTTCATTACAAAACTCTAGAATTTTTTAGGTTATGCCTTAAATTTAAAGTTAATATTTGCTTTAGTTGTTAAAAATTGAAACAGTTGATAAAACAATATTTAAAGTTGTTGACAGTGGAGAATTTTTGGTTGTAAACAATGTTACTTTCTGTAGTAAACAATAGACAGCTGTTGAAAATAAGATGTTTCGTAGGTCGTAAACACATAACGAAAACAGCTCAGCTCATAGTAGTGTAGTGAAAAATAATTATTTATTGTGAACATTGTTTAATAATCATAATTTATAGTTGAGTGGATATTTTTTTGATATTTTATTGTATTGTCTGGCAACAATAGGAGAGGAATCTCCCTCTCCTAATCATCAACAAGTCTGGATAGCCGAAGGGTTATAATTTTATGCTCGCCTTCAAATCTGAAAGACACTAGTTTAATTCCAACCTATGCAAATCCAGACCCAATTGTCATCGGGCTATCAAAAACTGATAATATCTAACAAAAAGTCAATGTTGGATGGATACAAGACCAAGTTTGAACCATTCCCTTAAAACACCTGAATTGTGTAGAAACACACCATATAAAAATACCCCAGTCACAGCAAACCTACAGACTAATGGAACTTCCATTTTTTAGGTTGGGTTTTTACTAAAATATTTCCTCATAATTTTCAGGTATATTTCGTACTTAAATAACATTAAGTTTGGAATACAACAATAACTCAGCTCCTGTTGTAAGACCAGGGGAAATGATTAGAAGAAAACCAAATAATTTTGACTTGTGAAGGAGGGATGACATTAGTAGTTAATACATATGTTAATAACATATGGTAATTGTTCAACATATGTTTTGTGTTATTGTTTTATATTTTGATTGAGTTTTTGTTTAGAAATACACACAAGTTTAGAAATACACACAACCTTTCATGAATTCAGTACAATTATTTAATAATTAATCAAACTAGCAGTTACCCACGGGCTTCACCCCGTTTGACTTTATAAGTATTATTAATAAAACTATTGATTAAAAAAGTAATTTTGGCAAATTTTATCAAAATATATCCATGAACAAGCAGACTAAATCAGTTTAAAATTTTAAATTTACAGGTTTTGTAATTTTCTTTATAAACATTAGATATACAACAATGCTTCAACTTACTGAATTATTGTGTTTTTTTAGCTTTACATAATAATTTAGAAATACTTGCAAAATGCTCTGGTCAAAAATTGGCAGATCCAATTTTTACCCCATAAATCTGCTGGTTCACAAACTGGTTCAAATAAACGTAGGTTTACTTGTTTTTGCCAAAGTCCAATTATATCAATTATTTAAGATGTGGACGCCACTATGGGCGTGTTTTAACCCAAATATGAGTGAAGGATGAGTGGCGCGATCTTGTTAGTGACTAAGGCCAACATGTTCCTTAGACACAGCTGTTAATTAATAGCCCATACAGCTAATGGTAACTAAGGGACCTACAGTTTATAGTGGAATCGGAACCAATTTTATCCTTGTGATAATTAATGAATTGTTCTAATTATCAGGATAGTACTGCGGATAGTCACAGTACTCTCTAGTGCGGATGTTAATCCACACCTGGGAGCATCGCATCCACAGTGCATGCCTATAAATATCCATAATTCGTGACCTCCTAGTAGCTGGATTACAAAATGACACCACCGTCCCAGTCTTTCATTCATCAAAGTTGGTTGATTTTTAAGTCTATTGTCGTGTTAAGAGACACATATAATTATAAAATTTATTTGAACTGATGGGGTTTTTGGGTTGTGAGGACATAAAAACAAAACAAAAAATAATTGGACCCGGGTCCAGGTCTTACCATGAGAACTACAATAATAGCTTACTCCCTCTAAGAGAAATTTGCTTAACTAATTAATTATATTGTTATGTAAAAAAGAAAAAAAACTTTACGCCAAATAAAGTTGATTCCTTGTACGGAATATTTAAAACACATGCCCAGCTAATAACTTTTGGCTATGTATCAGAAACCCAGCCACTTTCTAGGACTTCAGAATTTTTACTTTATTTGCATGGGAATGGTCCAAACCCTGGTCTTGTTACTGTATAACCACGGCTACCTTTAACTACAGGCCGCGGCCAGCGAGAATTGGTAACGTCGCACCGAGCATTAACTCCCGGCCGTTTCACCATTACGGTAGTACGGTTTAAATATACTGCATTTTTACACCCTTACAATTGAGATAAAATTTTTAAATTTGGTACAGAGCTAGGGAATAAACCCTTCATGCCAATGGTATGGTTTTGAAAATTCAAATTTCATTTGGTAGTAGGCTATATATAAATATTTTAAAAATTAACACATTAGAAAAAGTTTGGAAAAGTAAAGTGAAAAAGTTAGTCGCCTACTAAAATTGTTGTTTGTTGGTCAGAGAAGTTTCGTCTGTGAGAAAGTTGTAGATAATTAAATATACTTTACTGTTTGTAACTTTTCTTTCTATCATGCTTATTAGTTTTGTAAAAATTTTGGGTTGAACAAAGCGACCAAATCTCAGTTTTATGTCGCTACGCGGCGAGTAGCGCTGCCTGCAAGCTGTAGTGTAGTATCGCACAGCTAACAATTAATGTAGGACAACTGAATTATTTCAAGCTGGTCAATATGCCATGGTTTATATGCTGTTTTGGTTATCCTCAAGAAATTACTTTTGTATCAAATATTGCTTTAAAATACATACATTCCCAACCAGTACAGAAGTTCAGTTATGCCTGTGTTCCTTATATTTCCCCGTAATAAGTAATATTATTACAGACAACAGCACATCATTGAATGCATTTTGAAGACAGGTTAACTATTTACTACAATCCAACCAACAAGTTTACAAGTACACACTGCACGACTTAATGTCTTCATAATTAAATACCGTAGCCTAAAACAGGAATGCCTTTTCCGTTTTCCTTTTAGTTTTAATAACTTTGCTCTAGTTTATTATGAATTTTAAGTATGTGTTTTATTTACACGGCTGGTTTTTTTTTGTGACAGTGGTTTTTATGTCAGATATCGATATTCCAGAAATAGCTTAAACTGTTTCTATTTGTGGAGTAAATTTGAAGGAAATAGTGTCAAAAATTATTTTGAGAATGAACAATATTTTGTTAAATAACTACACAAAAGTAAAAAAGACAAAAATAATAGCCACTGTAACCATAGAAAAATGCCAATCCTTTCTTGAATAAAAATTTTATTTATTGCTTTTGTTAATTTTACTTTGTATAGTAAACGGCATCATTCTAATAATTGATAAAACAATAGCTTACATAGAAGCTGAAGCTGTAACTAAATAACATTGTAAATAGGATTTAAATTTTAAATGTTTAACAAATAATAAATCATAGAGTAAATACGTAAAAGAGACGGAAGAAAACTACAATTATAGGCATAATACTTATATGTTTAATGTACCGTAAAAGGCTTTAATAAATATTGTATTTTATTCTTGTATTGACACAAAAGCCTTGTATAATTCTTTCCTTCTTTTCCTACACATCAGTGTTGTCAGATACAAAACATCTAAATTAATAGATAATTTGCGTGCTTGTTCCAATCCTCCGTGGCGCGAGCGCGAGCGTTCAGTGGTGTAGCTTAGCAGTAGCCATCCAGCCATCCCATGCGGTGTTACCACTTTAAACGCCGCGGCCTGTAGTTAAAGGTGGCCGTGGTATAATGTTTACCTTTTGTTGGCATCAATATTTGATAGCACCACGATTGACAGTTAATGGTATCTGGGTCCTGAAACATTCTCGCTTGGAATTCAAACAGAGACCTTCGGATTTGAAGGCTGCACTATAACTCAGACAATTAGTTTGTATTTCTTTATATTTTCATAAAAACAAATACATGCACAGAAATGTTATCATTTTTGTGTTTCTAGTTTCCAGTATTATTGTAATTTAAAGAGCAATAAAAATATGATATACTTAAAGACTTTCATTTATACTCTCCTCAAACTGATTTAGTCAACGTATATTGCCTGTGTAGATATGAGGCAACGTTTTTGTCTGTCTATATTTAACTAGGCCAGACTTATATAGTTTAACTATTAAATGTGTTTAAAAAGTATAAAAAACATAAATGATGTTTCTAAGCCTATGAAGTTTGGGAGCTAGCAGATGTTGCAGGCCAGAGTGAGGCAGAAGCAGGGGGAACCAGTCAACCGCACTAATAGCACAGAAAACGTACTACTGTAACCCAGAATGCCAACCGCATGGTAAAAAGCATTAAGCGGTTTGAGAGAGCTTTGCCTGTCAATCCGTAGGCAGCGCCACTAGTGTTGCCATGCAATAGCATAGCAACGCTGGTGGCGCTGCCTACGGATTGACAGGCAAAGCTCTCTCAAAACACTCAATGCTTTTTACCATGCGGTTGGCATTCTGGGTTATAGTAGTACGTTTTCTGTGCTAATAGTCCTTGAGTCTATTGTGCGTGCTTCAAGCTGTGGGAGGAGGTAAACTGCTCCCCCTTGCTTGGCGTGCCAGTGAGGCCGTGGTGCGAAATTTTTGCCTTGACTGTACTCTTTCTTATCTGACCTAATCCCTATGCACTTTGTAAAGCGTTTTTGTGATATGGGGTGCAAATAATGTTTTTTGAGGTCAACTACTAGGTCTGAGGTCTAGGATAGGTTAGAAATATCAATGTTTGCATTGAACCTTCAGCTTTGAACTCAAAAGAAGCCCGAATTTGAACGCACAATATTTTATTTCCGTAGAGGTACAACTTTAAACGGTGTTTAACTTTTCATTAAATTACTTTCTAAAGATAATTTGTGGCATTGTGTTTTGATAACTGAATGGGTTGCTGTAATTTATTTAAGGGTCCACCCTACTGTAAACTCACCTTACAATATTCATTTAGGCTAGGCCTATTCTATAAATGTTTAAAGTTAATAAGTTAACAAAGATAAGGATTACAAAAGGTGTTTTATTTAAACAAATGAACAATTAACATGCAATGAGAAAAGGCTTGACGTTACAATGAAAGGATTGACAATGTTGTATGGGGTTAAAATTAAATTGAAATAAAAGATAAATTTGAATAATAACTTGAAGGTTCAAATAATTTAGATGTGATTTATCTCAGGGTAGGGTGTCGTGCTGGCTTGAATACTGATAATTAATAAATTTAATAGCGTCCAAATAGGCCTAATTAAAGTGTTAAATCTACACAATCTCAACAATGGAAAATCTAATTTTGGTGTTGTCCAAAAGGTAAGTCCAATTAGTATAAAATTTAAAAGAGTTTAAAGAAAAGGTTATACTTAATTTTAAAGATAATGATTGAGTTGAGTCCTCTTGAGGTTTAGGCTACTATATGATATAACTTGAAACTTGAAATGAACTTGATTCTTGATAAATGAATTTGATTTAACTTAGGTAAAAATGTTGAGTCCTTCTTCTAATAATTTCAACTTCTCAATGGCTTCCTTCTCTCTCAATTCCAATGTTCACATCACTGATTGTTGAACACATGGGATCACTTTCACTGCTTCTTAAATTTTGATTCCTTATGGACTAATTTTGAAATTATATTATAAGAAATTTTGATGTATTGCAATTCTCTTACATATTTAATAAATAATTAGGTTGTGGGTGTTGAAAAAAAAAATATAGGCTATGGAATGAAAGTAGAAATCCCCCGCATTGAGCCCCGCGTTCTGATTGGTCGAGAGCTCGATGACGTCACAAAGATGGCGGAAGGAGTAGGGCAAAAAGTGTTTGGCGGGAGCTGGGATGGAACCTGGTCCGGCGGCATGAGAAGCCGAAACGCTAACCACTGAGCCACGGCGCTCGATGTTAGACTTTGTGTCGAGGTCGTATACGAGGGCCGGCTTCGAGGGCCGGCATCGGGGGTCGGTATCGTGGATGTTTTTTTTTCTTTGGCACGAGATGATCGTGGTTCTGCTTTTCTCCACCAGAGTGTGCTGATATCGTCTGTTTTGGGAAAAAAAGGTGGTTCCGTCCTTCTCCACCAGAGTGTGTTGATACCTAGGTCGACTGGTCTCTAAACCTATTGATGTATTTTTGTTTGTTTATGGTTATATTAAATTGATTGTGGTTCTGCGTTTCTCCACTAGAGTGTGCTGATATTGTCTGTTGTCCACTAGAGTGTGTTAATACTATGGTTCTGTTTTTCTCCACTAGGTTTAACTGAATTATATGAAATGTCACTCTTATAATTGTACAAGCTTGGTTGTTTCATAGTTGTATCCTCATTTATGTTAATAATAATATGTTTGGTACTTTGAACTATTTGAGATGTTACTGTTGTCACGATGATACCACATCAATTATTTCATGTTGATTAACGAGTGCTAATTACCATCTTGTATGGATGGAATATTCTTTGTTACTTTTAATTTTTGCATTCTTTGAAAAACTGAAATAACATGATTCTTATAGTATGGTAAAATGTCAAAAAGGAGAGTGAAAGTAAAAATATGGTTGAATAAAAAATGATGTGTTTATTATACTAAAAGATGTTTACACATGTTACATAACATTTATGAAATAGTGTTAATAAATGATTATTAAGATTTATATATAAAATCATTAATACTTAACAAAAGTTATTTTTACATATATAACAAGAATAAGAATATATTTATTTCCCTTAAAATCAGTTAAACAAGTCTATGATATAATAAACTAAGAGTACTTGAATACTAAGATATACATATATACAATTAAAAATAATATTAACATACAGGAATGCATTTGAGGTAAAATATAATAAACAGTATAAAATGATATAAAATTACATTTTCATCCATTTGTGAGCTATGTATCAATTTTTAAATCTATAGTTTATCGGTAAGCATAAAATCGATTGCAAACTGTTTACTGAGCAAAGTGAAAAGACTTTTTTAAAAATAAATATTATATTTCGCCTCAAAAGCGTTCCTACATGTTGGACATGTTCCAAGAAATAGCAAACAGGGTCCACAAAATATATGCCCACACGGTATCAGTACCACTGATGGAGTAGACTCCATACATATCGGACACTCAAGATGTTGTTCTCGGGCTGGCCCTGGGTCCATCGATGGTCTTGTGTGGTCATAGACGTTGTAGTCGTCATTCCTGTGTTCAGCCGCATACGATCGCATCAACCTGTTGTCTGCTGCCAAGGCTGTCGTCAGGGAATGATAAATTTCTCTGAAGACAGTAGCAGCTAACAATTGCTGTTGGATCGCACTCGTCCGTGCCACAAAGTAGCTGACGAAAACAAGTAGATCTCGAAGCTTCTGTATCCACTGTCTCACTACATTGGATGCTCTTGGATCTGTCCAGTCACATCGCCACTCCTCCCTTAGTTCTGCATTGGTGTTCTGTAAAATAAAACAGAGAGTCTTAGAGTTTGGAATTAAAAAATGTTTGGTATACAGACAATATGTTAGGAACTGTTTGGAATTTGAGTTTAACAACAGGTTAGTCGTGCTAAATATATAAAACATGCATGTTTTATGTAAAATGCATACCGTCACAATGTTGTCCACCCTGTCCAAGATGCGTTTGGAGACTAGTAGCTGGTTTGGTGATATGTAACCTCCAGAATGTTGGAGCATACCACAGCAGTACCCACACAACCCCCAGAAGCTTCTTGGGTCTGTAGAAGCTGTTCTCTGGGGCTGATTTGCTGCATTGCTAGTGGTAGCAATATTGACATTCTGGTTCTGTAAAAAATTAAAGACGATTAGTATTTACTATTTAAAACAAATGATTGATAACTTGTCTGTACCTATAGTCATTTACTATTTAAAACGATTTGTTGATAACTTGTCTGTACCTATAGTCTTCTAGAAACTTACACGGTGATTGGTTATGTCTTGTAGGGGTGTGGGTCGGTTCCGTTGTGGTGGTGGGAAGGCAAAAACGTCCTCGTCGTCCTCCTCCTCTTCTATAGGTCTTGAGGTTGGTTGTTCCGAACCGCGACGCAGGATGTTGGGCCGTCGAGAGCTGGTAGGGGTAGGAGGAGCATTGGTTGACTGGGCCTGATTGGATGGTGTCCTCCTGACCGACAACCAGCCTGATGAAGAAGAAGAAGCTTGATTTTCTGCCAGGATCCTCTGCATCCAGGCAGGGAGAACTCGTCGGTTCTCGTCAACCGGTTCGCTAGCTTGGGAGGTCGATGGAGTCGGGGCAGAGTTTGCAGTTTGCTGCCTGGCTCTTGAGGGTAGCCGAAGACCCATAAAACTCCTGCGGAACCGAGCTCTCAGGTGGTCAGGGAGATTCTCGATGGCTGTAATAAAGTCCTCCATCGCAGCATCGCAGGCCTGGGGGTTACCCTGAAAATTATAATAGTGCTCTTGAAAATACCTATACATGAATCTCTTTGAAGTGTTAAAAATCCTAGTTGTGACTCAACCCAAATTCATACATTATGTTTAAAGAAGGAGAAATATTGAATAATTATTATCATAGTAAATATCATTTTTGTAAAAATATAACTATTGCTAGTCCATTGAAGCAATATCTTGATAAACCATAGTTAAATATTTTTTGAATAAATACATACTCATTATTTGGATAAATATAGTCAGTTTGATAATATAAATCAATACTCTATGTAAAATAAATTGCATTATTATTAAATACATACGCTCGAGGCTGGACCTCGAAAGTGAGGCATGAGCCTATCTAGGCTTTGACGAACTCTCGTCCAAGCCTGATGATACTCGACATCTATTGAGTCTAGCGTCTCAGTCAACAACAGAGTTCGGCGTGCCTTAATTAGCATCTGCTGTGTAACATCCCTTTCCTCCCTTTCTATGTCAGTTGTATCATCTTCTTCGCTGGAGATCTCCTCGACCATGTCAAGGTTCTCTTCTGGTGCGAAGAGATCCCTGTCGTCTGAGGACTGCTGAGGAGCAGGAGGCTACATAAAAATAGTCAAAAATAATGTTTGTAATATAGATCTGATTTAAAAAGAATTTCTTTATAAAATTTAACTTATGTTTTTTGATAGCTTTTAGATTTTTAGTAAAGAGTAAACCCATTTATATGTGAACGTACTAGTGATTATGTTATAATAATAAAAAAAAAATAAATAAAAAAAAACAGGTTATGGTTAATGGAGAATCTTTAATAGTGAATAGTGTATATTTATAACATTGTTAATAACTTGTTGCAAAGGTTAATTTATAAGCGTATTAGGAGAATTATTAAACAGGTAGTTTTTAAAATATTGTAAAATCACATACCTGATTCGGGGGTCGGATAGCGACACAGCAGGTCACTATGAAGAGCATGTAGAAGAGCACAACTGTAGAAGTTAGCTTGGTCATGTTGAAGCGACTGAGACTTGCAACGATTGCGGGCGTATTAAATAGCGCTGGCTTCTTAACGTCAAGGCTCTACAAGGTCAGGCGTGTCCCGCCATTCTGAGATAAGGCATAGTTATTATGTAAGGGGCCTCACTTATAGAGATAGCTAGCAAAAGACAAAACGCTATCTCCTATTTATATTTTTGACCCAAGTTTCCACACCACCCATGAGGTAGGGTCATGGCGCGTTCTTTTTTTGTTTACCCAGAGGCTTCCCCTGGAGGCCTAACCCTCTGGAGTCAAGAGGGACTAACATATGCTTTGACCAACCCTAGTTACATTAATATTACCACAACCCCCAGAGTTAAATTACATTAAGTAGTTTTCAGTTGTAAAAATGCTGTGTAAATGTTTGTTCATACTCACACACACCCATACTAGAGTTGTCACAAAGAAAACACATTTCACGGTTTTACAGGGGCTTATTCCCAACTTTGTTTCCTGTCAAAGTTAACCTAAAACGGATGACTTCACTTTTTTTTTTTTTTTTTTTTTTTTTTTTGTAACACATTAAACCAGGGGGAACATATCACGTTTTATGCTTTTTACGGCAACCCTGTGAGTAATAGTGTTGGTTTGGTCTGAGGAAAACATATTACGTTTTATGCTTTTTAAGGCAACCTCTCCGTATAGGATTTTACAACTGTTGACAGGATGACAGACTCTTTAGTTTTTAAAACTCACACACACACACACACACACACAACTCACACAGCAATTTTACATCTGAAAAGTATATTTACATCAATAGAAATCATATTACAATAGAGCTAATCTAACTTTTTTTTTTACTTTTTATTTTTCTTAGTAATAACGAGAACGTATTCATCGTTGTTTCCATTAACCTTTTTCAATTCAGAAATGAAACTAACGTGATCACAAAGAAATTTCCCACTTACTACCTGGTACAAAGCAATGTTAGTCCAATCGACTTTATCTGCAAAATCATGAATAAATGATTCGGATAGGGTTTGATTTTCACTGATAATGGACCAACATTCGGCAGAGAAATACGATGCAAACTCTCTGAGAATTTTCTCATCGATTTGGCATCTTTTTAAAAGTATGTGCCAGTTAATTCTGTGAAAATACATTCTAAGCAATTCAATATCAAAATTATAATGAGTTGACAGTAAATCCCAGTTGAGAAATCCGGCAAATCTCATTATAATTTTATCATTTAAAACACCTACCGGCTCTTTTGGTTCGGAGGAGAGAATATCCCAAGCGTTTGTGTCCATCTTGTTTGGTGGCTGATGAAATAATGAATTTAGTTTTCGAATTTTAATTTGTAAAATGTTTTGGCACTGCGCAGAGCACATTTACCCCCACTATTGTGCTGAGGTAAAAGACAAATCATCTGTAAGTTTGAAGAAGAAGAATTTGTATACGATTCTTCGATAGCTTCAACATTGACATGAAACTCTTTAAGAAACTTAACTTTTTCGCTACCTTTGGTGTAAAGTGTAGCAAATGGTTTACAAAGAGTTCGGATTAACTCTTCATCGTATGGTATACCTTGAGTATCCCATTTTATGAAGTGAAAATGCCTCGTTAACCACCTGGCTGATCGCAACATTTTATTATTTAAAAATGATTCGTTAAAAGGAGCATCAAAAACTAAATGTGTGTGAAAATGTTTACTCACTATAGCAAACTCTTTGATTATAAAACGATTTTGATTATCTTTGAACCCGTGAAATTCAACTATTGCTGACAGTCCCTTAGTTTTATTATCGTCCTCGCCCTTCTCCTGCTTTTGTTGCTGCTGCTGCTGCTGCTGCTCTACTGATCCCATATTAACCATTTCTTGAAAAACAAAACTTCGTCAACTAATTTATTTACAAAATGTGTAGGCAAACCCGCGGGTGGAATAGCGTCGTCCTCCTCCTGTGAGATCAAAACGCGGTCTATGAACATTCGAATCAGTTCTTCGTTGGTAAATAGCTCGACAAGGTATTTTTTGATTTCGTGGAGACTGCGCACGAACTGATCCCACTCATCACGGTTTAAGAGAATCACTCGTTCTTTGTCGTGAATGGACACATAGAGATTACCAAACACCTTTCTTACTTTCAATGTGTATCCCCCTTCATTAGTCGTGACACTGTAACCTTTTTTAGTTTCATCAGTCAAAGAGGATGTTATTTCATCAAAATGAACGGCTAAATCGTTAAAAGCACTATAGGGCCAAAAGATGTAGCTTTTCCCGGTTTTAAATAATACTCCTACAGTACGCATTAAACTTTCAAAATATCCGACTACTATGAATTTAGAACAGTCCTTGTCCAAATAGAAAATACTTTTTAAAAATATCTCTCTTATAGTGCTACGAGGAAGGGGCACCTTTGTGTTCTTCCTTCTGGGTTTTTTCGCGGTCATTACCTCGATCTGACCCGTGGTCTCCTCCACCTCCTCCTGCTCCGCCGGCTGTTGTGTTGAAAGAATAGTTGCTTTCTCGAACTCCATGGCTCACAGACTGATTCTCGAATGAATTTATTTTTACAATTATACAATTCCTACATATGTACCCCCACCCCTATTGTCTATTCGTTGTGATCATCATCATCATCATCATATTCACAATCATCGTCATCATCTTCATCATCTATTGCAGACATAGACCCGTCACTATCGGTAAACTGCAAAGACTCGGTATCCGAACAACTATCACTTTTGTACCAATCATTTTCCGATCCCCTGTTGATATTTTGACTAAAGATAGAGTACCGATTTACCAAATGGTACTTTAAACACCCGTACTTGTAAACGTTGAGTGGTGACTTTTTACTAGTATCCGTGTACATCACACGCTTCGGGTTATATGGTATTTCAGCTGTATAACTACTGTAAAATCTCAAACCGATTCCTTTATATTCAAACATTTCATTTACAATATTTTCCAACTCCTTTTCAGTGTACTCTTGTTTTAGTTGAGAGCGTGTAATGAATTCGATTGTTAAAAAATGAACATCTGACAAGTCGATAAAGTTTACAGGTTCTCTTCCGTTAATTTTATGTTTTTTTATCAAAACCATGTCCTCGTCAAAAAGATTTAGATTTATAAACGCGAGCTTGTCATGTTTTTCAATATTTTCACTTACCTCTGGATTTCCTTCCTGCGCGATCTTTTGGTCTTCAACACTCTTTGGCGTCTCCATGGCGACTGAATCGAAACAACACGTCTTTTTCACTTTGATTCACCATCGAGTGTATTTCGTCGAGTATTTGCAAAGCGCGACAGCGGTACATACCCGCTAAGCAGCATTTACAAGTATCTACTACATCAATTCCGGTTTCGTTTGTTTGTACACTTTCAACGCATTCTTTGTAATGTGAAAACTCGTCAGGCCCGGCGGTGTCCACTCTTTCTGTTAGATTGTGACGAGCAATATGATCGTCGAGACGATTTAAAAATTTCAACACTTTAAGTCTCTTTCTTAAAAGTTCCTCGTTCTCGACCGTCATAAATGCCGGATGGTTTTCTATATCTCGTTTGGCGTCCATGTCTCTGATGTAATTTTGCAAAATTATCCCGTCAAGATCAGAGGTCTGCGAGCGATTAATATTTTCAGCTCAGTTTCCTCAATTACAAGGCGACAGCACAAGGTGATCACGTGTCTGTGTGGCGCGCTTAGACCTTGGCCGGCCTTCGAACCCGGACCTCGGCCCTCGACCTCGGCCTTCGACCCCGGACCCGGATAACCAGTTGGCCTTGGGCGGCGTCTCAGACGGAGATCTTTCGCACGTCGCCGGTTAGTGGCGTGTAAGTGTAATGGCAATCGTGAATGATGAGGCAATATCCCCAAGTGTTGGCGGGAAACTTTTTGTTAGTTTGAATGTCCAACTTCACTTCGACAGGGCCTGTCTTCATTGAATCGTTTTGTTTCGAACAATCGATTATGTAAATGGGACATTTTGTTGTATAATCTGTAAAGTTTAATATCGGTGAGCCTACTCTACCGTAATAAGAACTTTGAAAATTTGCGTAAGCGTCGTAAAACAACGCCGTATTTGAGAGTAGAGCGTCATAAGGGTAGTATATCGAATTTAGGTACACTTTTATATCTTTTACGTCACAAGAATCGAATTGTGACATATCCTTGGTGATGTCGTTTTTCCTACCTGTTTGAAAGCCGACAATTATGTACCTCGGTTTTTCCAACTGGTTGGTCGTACGGATAGGCCAGGAAAAGGAATCACTGGTCGTAGGTAAATTCGCATACTCATGCATTTCCCACTGTCTGAACGGTATGTGAATGTGTGGGTCTTTCTCGATGTACTTATAAAGTCTGAGTTTTGCCGGATCGTTTACCATCACATGAGGCACACGCCAGTATATCTTTACGATTTCCAATTTTAAAGTACCAGCTTCAGACGTACTGACGGCGTTCAGGTCGGTCGAGGACCTCAATAAAATAAGTTCTTGTTTACTATTGACGATTACCTTTCTATAATCCTCTGCGAATCCTAAAAGAAGTCTAAGCGGTATGGAGTATATAAAGTCTTTAACATTCACTGTCTCACCAGGCCCGAACCAACAGGCGTTCTGTAACACGTTTTTTTCTTCTTCCCGGATGGAAACCAAATTTTTCAAAGTCGTCGTGATTCCCACATTTCTAGTCCTATCGATTTCTTTACCACAGATCTCATAACGAACCTCGTCAAACAAAAATGCGATACCGTTGTTTACTAAATTAACATCTAATGCTGTCGCTCCTGTTGTTTTAGTTGCCTCTACTTTACCGTGAATGACAACGTAACTATCAAACGGCAAGGTAAGAATATCCTGTTGTAAGATCGGTATTCTGACTTCGTCGTTGTTTCTATAGCTACACGAGACGTATGGTTGATGATTATGATACTCCATACTAGTGACAGAGTCATCGTACATAGCAGCGTTTTCTATCGCTAGCATTGCCATTTTTTACTACTTTAAAACCGAGAGAACGTAGAAAACGTATATTTTTACAACTTAACTGGTCAGTCTTTCTTGATGAACTGACTTTTTGTGTAGTAGTTATTTCTCTAAATAGTATTCCCATCTCTACGTCTGAGATGGAGTCTTACACATATAGGCTCTCCACGAAAATTAACCAAATTACCGTCCTGGTCTCTTAAAGATACAGACAAGTTGTTTATCGTTTGAGCGATGACAGGCAAGTAAATCACATTCTTTGGAATCTCAATTATTTTATACCCCGGAGGTTCTGCAGGATAAAACTGGTGTATGACATGGCCTTCTATACCGTTTAAAAACGAGCCTCGACTGATATTACACTCAACACGTATGGAATTCACTTTAATTATATTAATTGGCAGGTCTGATGTGTGAAGTGTTGCGGCTTCGTATACACCTGGCTTGAAACCTAACACCTGTGCCAAACTGTCTTTTTCCGAAAAGTTAACTTTTTCACTACAACACAATTCTGCTTGTAGAGTGTTATTGTTTGCTTTTAATGAGAAGGTAATATTTTCACCTAATTTAGATTTTATATATTTTTCTATGTCCTCGATCTCATAGCTTCCCTCGGGAATAACGACCTTTTTGTTTTCACCATAGTAAAACTTGTCATTGATATTTGTTTCAATGTTGGGAATTGAGTTGTAAGTTGTTAAATCGACCAGACCAAGCTCCCAATCCCCGGTACTTACATCTATTGGATATGCTAGTTCATGTGACAAAACGCTAGATGTTCCCGTGAGACAAAACATTACTAGAAAGAAACCTTAAGCACAAGTGTCCGCAAATAACTGAATCGTAATTTTGTTCTCTTTTGTAATTATAGTAAATTGTGCAATTCCCAAAATACCTCAAGAGCTCTGGTGGTGGTTTCAAACTACCAAAACTGTCATAATAATACACTCTGTTGTCTAATTTTCTAAAACATACCCAATGAGTGCCACCACCGCTTCCAGAATCCAGGTTTACTATTACTGATTCATATTTTTTGGGGTTTGAAGGTAGCATATCTCTCATGTACACTCCTCTAAAGTTTGGTATTTTAAGTAATTTTGCATATTTCTCCAACTCGTAGTTTGTTAGTGGTTTCACCGGGATTTTGATGTTTTTTTTTTCCTTGTAGTGCGTTTCTTTTTCTTGCCCGATCCTTGAACCTTTCTGTACGGTCTCAAGTATAACCCTTTACCTTTACTACTCTTGCGTTTTGGGGCTCGTTTCTTCTTGCGTCCTCCGCCGAACTTTGTTTTGGCTTTCATGGCTGTTGTAACTGTCCAGGCAGCTGCTTTTTCCACTAAAGACGAATCTGGGGCCTTGAATCTCTGCCAAGCCCGTTCAGCCAATTCTTGATCCGCACGTCTCCTGTTCTCTGAATCCTTATATCTAGAGTAGGCTATGTCGTGCACCTTACAAGCCTGATCTAATTTATTTATTCCTGGGTCCCCTCTGGCCAACCTTTTGGCTAGTTTAGTTCCAGGTCCACAATATTGATATCCTCCCGGTATATGAAGTTCGATGGGTAATAAGTCGATAGCTTTATTAAGAACCGAAGAAACTATACCTCTTCCTTGAACGGTTGTTTGTTTACATCTGAATCTCTTAGTTTTGGATTCTGACATTTTAAGTTGTTCACTTTCTTTAAGTAGAAGGTCTATTCAGTTCCTCGTCGATGAAAAGATCGTAGCTATTGGGTGGGAGAGGATGGACTTCTTCTTCTGCTCCACTCTTTTTTGCTACTGAATGATCGGCAAACAAAACTTCCCAATTTATGAAATCTTTTTCACCTCCTATCGGTATTGTAGCAGACCTACCGGTTTCCTTTTTATTTATATAATTATACAGTAACACTCCGAATTTTCTCAAGTTTTTATCATGGTAGTCTTTATTACTAGCTATTAAGCCCTCACATTTTGCAAGTCTTTCTTTAAATAATCTCAGATCCTCACGAAGTATTTCTAAGCTAGCAGTTAATGCTGAATGTTCCTTTAAACAAATGTTTTCTACAAAACGTTTTGTTGCAGCATCTCTTGGATGTCTAGGAACGGCTAAGTTATTTATTTGTTTTTTACCAGCGTCAAAGTCAGAGTCCTCACCCTGTGTCAAACACATTCGTTTTAAAGTCTGTAGATTAATAGCATCTTTTCCCTCAAGAGCGTCATCTACATTTCTCATCCTTTTAGACCCCAAATTAAAACCTCCACTCTCCAGTGGGATCAGTCTTGAATCCACATATAATTTGGACACCGCATCAAGTGATTCTACAGCCTCCCCAATGTTAGTTAGGCGCTTGCTCTTTATATCGTAGTGCCCATCAGCTGTCATATCAAATCCATCGCCTTTAGGTCCTTTGACATTTTTTTCTGAGGACTTTGAGCTGCGTCCAAACTTGTCAATCGTCATTTTAACAATGCCTTGAATCTACTATTACCAAAACCCTTTATAAAGCCGGCCTCTTTCAACTCTTCCACAATACTAATAATTTCATTCGCATGCACTTTGTTTCCAGTTTCTGTGGACATAGCTATGTGTTCAAATCGCTCCACCAACTCGTTTGGATCGTCCCAATATAACACATCGTGGTGTTTTGTATTCTTCCACGCCATACCTTTACCACGACTGGGAAATAGTTTTTGGATAATTCTGATATATTTTTGCCCTCTACTTGATTTAATTTTACCGTTATGCCTGAAACCGTCTCTATGAGCATTTGTATCAAATAGTATACTTTTGTATTTATTTAAATCTTCATTCGTGTATGTATTACTATCTGGTAGTCTTTTGAAAAGTAATTCATAAAGACCTTCAGATGCCCCATAGTTTATACCACCTATTTTTATACTTCCCTCACTATCAAAATCTAATTCTTTTCCACCTACCATCAACTTTTCACCATCTAAAAACTGAGGTCCATAAACGTAGTCTATGGTCTTTTTATTTCCACCAGCATCTCTTAGATACATATCCATATAATGCTGTGTAATGGGATTCTTAAAGTATGTCTCAATAAACTGAGTTGTTGACGCTTGTTGTTGAGGTGTGGACACTAGCGCTGACAAATCTTTACCTTTAGGTGTTGACATGGTGTCGGGGGAGAACCTTTCAGTCTCCCCCTCCTCGTCGTCATCAGTAGAATAATAATTTAACGATTGTTCTTTGTCGTCGTCGTACACATGTTCCTCCTTAATAGTTGGTTGCTCCGTTTTTATATCGGTGACGTTTTGTGGTGTTTTTCTTAGCTCTTGTATGATCGGTTTGTATTGCTTTTCAAGTAATATATCACTTTCTTCAGCTCCTTCTTTGAACATCTTATACTTGTGTTTAATAGCTTTACGCAACTCAATAAGTTTGGCAGTAAGTTGTTTACTCTTAGGTTCCATAGTGAAAACTAAAAGTTTGAGTTTTACTTTGAGAATTTAAGGTAATTCCACCTGTCTAAAGAACATTGCACGCTTTTTGTGTTTTCGTATGAAATGTATTACATCTATTAAGGAGATTCCATAACTAAAGTCCAGTCCGTTATAATAATTCTGTACTCTAGAATCAAAACGTGGTATCACATACGGTCGTATAAGACTTTTAAATATAAATGTCCTTTTCCAATCATCTCTCCACTGAGGGATTTCTGATACTATGTACACATCTTTTTCTACTGCTGTCGTCATGAACCTCTTGAGCGTATCAATTGGTCTGTGTTTGTTAATGTTCTGTAATAAAAATGAGTTCAAGAGCCAAAACTCGCATGGATTTGCCCCTGTAAACCTTTTCCACTGTTCGAGTAATTTTGAATTTGTTACAGAATACACACAATTATTCAAACTGATTCCGAATTTTTCACAATTTAAGGCAACTGTAGGTAAAGCTTCTCTTAAGAAATCTACAGTATACAACCCTTGACAGAGATTATTAACACCACTGAATGGTTTACCCCTAGGTTGAGGAGGAATGCCGTCTGGGACAACATCATAGGCAACATTATAACTTATATTTATATAACACTTTAAAGACATAGCGGTTTGATAAATCTTTAAAGGTGACCTTATCGGTATTGTTCTTTCTGTCAAAACTATACATCTACTAGCATTCGGTATCAAACATCCATATTCTAACATTCTAAACACGACTTGTGAAAAATTAACGCTTCCATGTAGATCTCGCAGGGGTAGGGTCGGTCCAAATATATCAGGAAAAGGTCTGAACCTAGAAATGAGGTTTTGCGGGTTTCTTACCGTACAGTTGTTCATATCTTCATGATACATCACTAGTTCCAATGGAACATTCTTCTTTTGACAACGGTATACAAAGTTTAACCAAGCATCCCTATTATAAGTCCTCTCACTTGCTGAGATCATAAGAAGTATTACAGGTGGTATAATTGTTGAGCTTTTAGGTCTTTTATGTCTCCAACATCTCTTGTTAAACTGAAAACCATGTGGAGGGCTTCTACTACAATAGTTGCCACAAAATTTACCTTTATCTTTGTAATAAAATGTACATAAATTTGATTTAACATTATGAAGCTTTACATCGAAACCCTTTATATCATTGTAAGTATAAATGCGCACCATTAGAAAGCCGTTATAAAACTACTAAGACCAATCCTGTATCGTCCATTATATTGATCCTGACTTTTGTCAATGACTAAAAACCCATATTTGTCTTCCCATGCCTTTGCACACAGCTCTTTGAATTTTTCAAAAGACATGTCAGTAGTCACATGATCACCATACACATGTCTCAAATTCATTTCATCTTGTTTAAACAGTATGAGAAAATTACAATTGTCTCTAATGAGCTGTTTTGGTATAGCACTGTATGTTTGTCCTAAATAAAATGTATCAATGTCATTATGCCTACCCATGGTAAAGTAGCTACGAATGTTATTATGTTTTTCACAAGATATATCATCAAATATCATGATAGAATCCGGCTCAGCCTCATTCGGGGGAATGACTAAACTGTTATCGTCGTAAGCAAAATAACCAATTTCCTTAGGCATAGCTTTCTTTAAAAACTCATATTTTGGTTGATATAGAGATTTTGAAAAAACATAAATGTTTTTAAACCTAACACCGTTTTTATCAAAAATTAAATTAAATAGAATATTTGTTTTCCCTGAAGAGCTAGGTCCACAAATTATACAACGAATAGAGTTTGGTAATAAATCCCCATGTTTGTTCCTCTTTACACATCCTGTACCGATAAACTGGTCAAAGTTCTGCACGGTTAAATGAACATTCTGTTTCTTAAGCCGCATACTGACTGATTACTCAAATGTGCTGACAGTATGATAAATACTTGATAAGGATTTGCTATTTCTTAAAATAACAAAAGATCACAGTCGCAGGTCATCAGAATGAACCCAACTATCACTATTTTTATCGTGCCCTGCCCAACGAACTAAGAGCTTATTACCCTTTCGTTTCAAAATCTTTTCCACTAAATATACATCTCCAGTCTTGGACTTACTAATTTCATCTGTATAAAACCCACCTTTTAATATTTCTCCTTTATGATCTTGAAGAATATAAGTGATTGGTCTAGTTGGTTTGACAGCATGTATTCTAAATATCTCGTTTGTCCAATTTGGTAAATATCCTTTTTTAAACATTCTTTTCGCCTTACTAATTCTAACACTGTCCCCTACTTTAAATTTGTATACCTTTTTTGGATTTGCTGCTTCATTTATTCTGTTTAATATTTGTTTTTCATGTTTTTTCTTCACTTCTTTTGGCTTCATACCAATGGTCCGATGTTTTGTATTATTATAGGAACTAGTAATATGATCTAATATGCTTACCCATTCATAACTTCCTCTTGCTGTAAATAACTTGTACATTTTTGACTTTAAAGTTCGATTTAACCTTTCAACAATACTAGCTTTTAATTCAGAGTATGTATGATAATGATTAATTTTATACATATTCATAAGTTTATTTACATGTTTATTAAACCACTCTGTACCTTGGTCTGTTTGAAAGTTTTTCATTTTATTTTTAGCTAAAATTGGTTCTAAAGCTTTAGCCACCTCTATACCAGATTTACTTTTTAGTGGTATTGCAAAAGCAAACTTGGAAAAACAATTGATCATAGTCATTATATACTTATAGCCTTTGTTAATTTTAGAATATGGTTGCATTTCCACTAAATCTGCTTGATATAAATCGTTGAGGCCCTTAAGAGTAACTTTACGTCTGAGGTAATTTTTTCTAGCAGGCCTATGTAGTTCATCAGCAATTGCCAGTCTAGCTTCCATTGTGGAAATGACCATATTATTCTGTATTACATAATTTATGTATCATATCTAATTCAGTGATTCTCATAATGTAGATAAAACTCATACTTGCAAGAAATAATATTAGTATAAAAATCTTTTCTATTGAATCATTAATATTACAGAATATCATTTTAAAACACTTAACACTGTCCTAACATGTAATTACACTCACCAAAATCTCTAAAGATACTAAATAATAATTTTGTTTACCTATATTTGACTACAATAACTATTTTTACATTACATTGTCCACTTGCATCTTAAAACATGACCGTTGAAAATGAATGATAAATTTGTGTGTTCTCATGCCCCGCTTATGGAGTCTTACATTGTTTTTTGTATCCATATGGTAAAGTGTCATGATCACCATCGTGTTTTCTCTTAGGACCTGTTATTTTGAAATCCTTTTTCTCCACAATTGTTACCACATCTCTACTCTCTGTTCTTCTAATTCTACTTTCTATAATTGGTACTGATTCACTGGTTTCACTTAAAATCATAGCTTTTAGGGATGAAAAGTTCAATTTTCTACTAGCAGACAAATTTAGGGTGATACCTTTGATTTTGCAAACTTCTCTATACTCATTTGTTACTGGGGAATAAACAACATATCCATAGGTTTTGGGACCACCAGAACAAAACTCCACAATAAATGAGCCTGGTCCATAATCTTTAGCTAACTCATCAGTCATGTCCCCTAAGTAGTCTCCAACAGGTATTTTATATAATCCTGGTCTATAGACGTAGATAACCGAGTCTGTATCATAATAGCACACTTGGTTTCCTAGTTTCTCAAGGTGTTCATATAGTTTTAGTCTGGCTTGACTTGTAGTGAAAGCTGCTAAGACCACATTGACAGTTCTTAAGCATTCGCCAACTTCTTCTAAATGCTGCCAATTTACAACGACAACTTCTTCATTGATCTCTTTAATTCTGTTTATCTGGTCTACTGGACTAACTAGGAGGTTGAACAATTCCTTAGGATCCCTAGTCACTAACGTTTTGGTCTGGTTTTGCCTCTGTCCAAACTTGCCCCAAAATGAGTTGAGCATAAGTTTGGAAAGCGAGCGCATCCCTTCATTTTTCTCGATTTTGTCAGAATCTAATGAAATTCCTTCATGGTCAAAGTAGTCTTTTATGTATCGTTGTTTTTCCTCTTCTGTTTTACACCAGTCGGGATAACCTGAAGCTTCTTGCTTGGTTTTTAAAAACTTGTCGATGAATTCTGTAAATAAACCTCCATTTTCAAAAGTAGCCATTTCATATTGCCACAACTCATATCGCTCTAGAATTACGTAGCCTTTCTCTACAGCTTTTCTTATTTCCATCATAGTCCATGTTCCTACCAAAGCTCTCTCTTCCACTCCATGGTGACACTCTCCAGAAGATGACAAGTTCTCTCCACACACACGACACAAGACAAACATTAATTTATCATTCATTTTCACCGGTAATACAGGATGATAAAGATTTGTAGGGGGTAGAATTTTACATTTAAGAAGTCCTTCAGCTTCCATTCCTCTCTTTAGACATTCTTCATCACCAACAAATATCGTAGGATGTCCTACAGGAAACATACCGTATTTGCAGACCCAAGGATAGAGAGAACAAATGTCTACGTAGAATATCTGTTCTCCTTCTTCCTTCTTACACTTATAGTATGTCTTTGAGTTTCCGGTTCGGCCCCCATAAAAAGCATCCCTCGGGTTTAGTGGGATTGTGTTTAGAATCGGGATATTGTTAAGATATTGCAATTTATTTCTCTTCTTCAAATCATCAAATTCACACTCCCACATATCTATTACATCAAACTGCTGTCGTATCCTTCCTGTTCTTTCTATGGTTCTTTCGTACCGCAAGTGTAAACTGTCTGATAGATCATCTTGAAGAGGTTCTTCTCTTTTATATGGAAAACATTTCGGACATCCATGGAAATAGCAACCATAAAATTCATAAACTATTTCTCCATCAAACCCGTCAACCTTTCCAATGCCTGGAATTTTAAATTCTCGGCTGTTGCCAGCATGTTGAATCCTCACATTTCTTTTGTCCTCTTCCAAGGCCAACCACTGTAGAGCCTTTGCAGATTGGTTATCGGCAAGACGATAACCACCTATAGGAATAATACCTATGGTGTCTGGCTTGAGGAAGTTTCTTCTAAATGCTAAGTTGCAAGCACTTGCTATAGTTACTGCTTCCAAAAATGGATCTACGTTACATTCTTTTAAAAACATCGTCCTAAATTTAATACAGGCTTGAGCCAGGATGTCCACGTCTGAAATGCAATATTCTAGGATTTCTTTTTGAAAATCAAAGGTGTAGTTATTTACAACCTGCTCATTATGCCATTCTATAAACTTTTCATACCCTTTTGTAAACATAGAGTCTGGACAGTAATACTTTTTGTCAGGGATAGGTCCGACATAGTTTTGGTGGCTCAAAGTATTGAAAAGATGTGGGAAGTATCCCTTCTTTTTTTCAGGGCCAAGATCGAATGATTTTGGGAGGTTTGCTAATGCCATAGGAAAATAGTTAATAGAGTCAATAAATCTTACATTATCAACTTCCATTAGGATGATTTTTGTCCCTCTTGAAATCAATTTTGGACTGTGTTTTGTCTCATTGTACACATACTTTAACAGAAATTGAAAATCAAAGCCCTGCCCATTGTGCGCAATTACACAAACGGATTTGAATTTCTTTTTTGCCTCCATTACATAGTTCATGAACATTTCTACAGGATTCACATTGAACACTCTTTGACGGATCATACAGTTTTCACAGTGAATGTCATCATCATTTGATATACATTGCCAGCAATACTGTTGGCTAACACAAAGATTTACAACATGAAGTTTTTTCTCTGGATCATCTTGAATGTTTTCATCTTGACGAGTTTCAAAGTCAAAAAATATAAATAAAAAGCTCTTTGCATTAGGTCTACTTGAATCTACTCTCATATAACATTTGTGGTTTGGATCAGTATATTTTAAACATACTTTACAAAACTGTTCTCCACACACATGGATCTGTTTTCTACCCTTGGGTCTTACAATCCGGTTACATTCCCCACACTTCTTTACAGATGAACAAATGTTTTTTTGGTGAGCAATAAAACAGGTTTGGTTTTTAAAATGACGGTTACAGTCAGGACAAGTAATACCATCATGTTCCAGTTTGCAGGGCGGTGAGGTTACCATACAGGCTGAACACAATGATGAACATCTATGTTCATTTTGCTTTTCATACCCAACATGACAAGCCTCACAATAGTATTTACAGGCAAATGCTGATGTTAAACTAGTTATAACATTAAAATGGCCTTCATTAAAAAGAAGGTTGATTTTTAGTTTTGCATCAGCATTGTCACCACTAAAATAGGTCTCTCTACCTCTCGTATTGTAGTTATAAACAGTTATTTTGTATTTTTTTAGATGAGACTGTAACTTTTCTAACTCTCTAATGCCAGCTCCTTCTAAAGGTATTGAAACCCTAGCTTTTGCTAACAATTTTTCAGCTCGCAACGTCTGTCTTTTACCCTTATCCTGTTTGATTGCTTTGTAAAGAGGATCATTTTTAGCATGAGCCTTTCCAACTACCAAAGCTCGAGCTAAACACAGGTTATCTATGTTTTTAATTGTAACAATTCCAATTCTACTACGACACTCTTCTGAAAAATTGTTATAGAAACCTGATCTTTTATGACCCCCAGATCCTACAGGTAGACTAACTTTAGTACACTCCACTATAAATGTATCACTAGATGTAACAGACTCTTCATTACTTTGTATAATACCCCCAAATATAGTCCACAAAACATCATCATTCACCTCCTCTGATGGTCTAAAAGCAACGTATCCAGGTTCCTTATTCTTTAAATTCAAACTTTTCAAAGTAAATCCTAAATAATCATTCGTCCCTGTACATTCACGTTTCATTTCCTCTACCAACTGAGCAAAACCACTTTTGATCCAATCAAGTTCATTATAACCAGCCGGTGGTGTATTAAATTTAAAAATGGTTTTTCTTCCAGACATTCTAAATTTTCTAACATACGTATCATGGCTTCTAACGATATGAATAGGTTCCATAGTAAAAACTACAAATATGTACTCACCATCAAACAGCCACTCGTACACTCAAAGAGAAACTAGTGAACAGCTATTGACGCAACATTTGAAACTCGCGCGCTATATAGTGTACGTCACACCCAGTTCTACCACGGGATTGGTCAACCGGAAAGCGCGCCAACTCCCCACTATATAAACGATCGTACCACCACAGTTCACAGTACACGTCTTACTTCGAAGCTACAGCGTTCTACTGTCTCTACAATCTCTTCAAGCACTTCCACGCAAATTTTACGTAAGTAATTTGAACACATTTTATTAATATTTCGATCTTTAACTTTAACTTTAATTTTGTCCTGTCCTTTATATTATTGATATATTATTATTAACTACGAGGTATTATAAGTACCTTTGAAATTATTTCACCTGTTTCTTTTATTCTTCTCTGAAATCGAACTCTATCTCTAGCCACCATCTCCCAAACTGATTTCCTTTCTTCATCAGGCAATAAGTAGACATTGGTAACAAGTGGATCAGCAAAACGTACACGTTTTTTATATATATTTTCTAACATATTGATTAGGTACCAAACAATTCTTAGTTTTATAACCTATACATTACAACTGCTACTGCCGATAATTATCATGCTTACACCAAGACTGTCAAGAAAGAATTAACTCTTGCTCAGACGGTACTAACTTTTTATCTCTAAAACAAATGGTTAAATACAGAAATACATTAGTTTGCAAATTGTTACAGAATATGGATAAGATGCTCAGTGAATTGGCTGAATTGGAAAAGTATGAGGGACCTCCAAAATACAGCTGTAAGGAGCTCACTGCTAAAGAAGGATACCCTATAACATCTATGAAGAGAACGGACAGCAAATTTGGACCATCAGTCGTTGCTGAGATAACCTTACCTGATGGTGGAGGACCAGCAATAACATTTCTCCCTCAGCGTTTTGTGACCCATCTCTCAGACGAGCAGATTGAAAATTTTAATAAAGGGGGGTTTCGATTGAAATGTACAGGGATGTCTGGTAGAAGCATAAATTTACTATTTTTTAAATAAAAAGAAACATTATTTGTATATGTATGCTGTAGTTTCATTCCTTAAAACCCAGATATCTCTCAAGTTTGATAAATTACATATATATATATATATATATATAATAACAACAACAACTAATTATATTAGCAAAACTAGTGCAGTTAGTAACATATAATGGTAAACAGTTTAGATTACAGTAAAATATAAAAGATGGTATAGAACATTTTGTTATACATATTATTGCAAATTTGTAATCAACATTGATTGTTTAACCTACGCTTATGAAATAATTAAGTTGGTATCACTATGATAATAACATATAAGTCAAGGCAAATAATATACCAGAAATATTATTAGTTTGCCTGAGGGTAGGACTATGAAACATCCAAGTTGGTACAACTATAACAATAACATATTGTATAATCTGAGATAGTCACAAAATACATCAAACAGTGCCAACACACTCTGGTGGACAAAAGCAGAACCACAATCAATTTAATACAACCATAAACAAAAACAATAGGTTTAGAGACCAGTCGACCTAGGTATCAACACACTCTGGTGGAGAAGGACGGAACCACCTTTTTTTCCCAAAACAGACGATATCAGCACACTCTGGTGGAGAAAAGCAGAACCACGATCATCTCGTGCCAAAGAAAAAAAAACATCCACGATACCGACCCCCGATGCCGGCCCTCGAAGCCGGCCCTCGTATACGACCTCGACACAAAGTCTAACATCGAGCGCCGTGGCTCAGTGGTTAGCGTTTCGGCTTCTCATGCCGCCGGACCAGGTTCCATCCCAGCTCCCGCCAAACACTTTTTGCCCTACTCCTTCCGCCATCTTTGTGACGTCATCGAGCTCTCGACCAATCAGAACGCGGGGCTCAATGCGGGGGATTTCTACTAATGAATATTATTAATGATTAATTGAACATATTAATGAAATGATAGAAATTAGGAAAATGAATATTAGGGCAGCCTTTCTGAGGAGTGATTATTAGGTGTATGAAAAAAAGTTAACATTGAAAAAAAATTTAATACTAAATAATGAATGAAATGAAATGAAATATTACAATTTATCTCCTCAGAAATTTGTATGATATGGAATGAAGGACAAATTTCGAACGAATATGAAATGGAATTCATGAATCATTTAGTATGAATTATATTTAAAGCTAGTTATGGGTCACATTAAATGATTGATATTTTTGGATGATGATGATTAAAAACTTCTTAATCTAAATTTACATAAACACAGGAACAAACATAAATGGGGAAATTAGTGAGGGTTAAGATAGTTCATGACCTGACACAGGGAAATAGCAATAGAAGCAATGTTAAGGATATGTTCTCACAGTTTTCACTTGGGAAATGGGGAAAAGGGTACACGCACTTGCGATTAAGGTTCATGACGATCTCCTCCATAATTTATGACACTTGATTAATATGGATTGAATAGGATTTTATGTACACAATGTTTTGAGAGTTTATGTTACCGAGATCTTCTTCACTATTTTCTATCTCCTCTTCTACGATCATTTTGAAGCAGATATGTGATAAGGTCTGAATAAGATATCTTCATTCTTCAGAGAAAACGTTTTTACATTTTATTTAATAGTTTACTTATTGATGTGTTTGGTGATATGTATTAATCTCCTCAAATGTCAATGTGCTGTCCTTTAGTGGATTACTTTGTTGATCATTGAAGTTGTGCGTTGTGCTATCATACTCATATATATTATACTATTATGGTACTTATTGTACATCATATTATAAAAATTATCATTTATATTATTATTTGGCCTATGGCTATTATTAACTACTATTTGACATATTTGTCCTTCATGATGACACAAATTAAACTTCACTGTAACATTGTTATTGTTGATTTGCATATTGATTTCATTTGTATTAAAATTCAAATCCATTTTAAGGGCGGATAGTACATCGACTCCAAGGATGACTGGCTTTATTAAGTTTGGCACTATCAAATATTCAGTAAGCACGGTATGTTTATTAATTGTGGTTGGGACATATATTGTTCGGGAAACACGCTTACTCTTTTCTCCTACAGCAGTTTTTATAACGGTATTATTTACAGGGAGTTCT